CGATCGCAACATGCTAAATTATAGCCCGCCTGTCCCTGAACATTTGTAGAATTTATAGCCGTGCTGCCGTCGGTATGTTGTACCTGCGAAGTAATTTTTGACAAAAAGAAACATTAAAAATGGTGAAATATTATAAATAAAATAGTAATAAATCAATAATAACTAATAATTTATATTTGTAATAATTTATAATATTTATAATAATTTATAAAAGAATTATTATTTGTTTATTAATAAATAATAATAGTTTCGCTTTTCTCTCTTTTTTTTAAATGATATTATAATCATTTCAAACTAGCTCACAACAGCACGCTTTTATTGAGGCAACTTAACAATCGAAGCGGCTCACTTATTTTGTCCATATTTCACATTGAGGTATTACTACTACGTATAGAGAAGCCTTACATGATCTTGCGCCACGTTTTGCGGTACTCTGTACCGCAACTGTTTAGTTAGTGTCCAACACAGACGAGTCGTGTTCGTTTCGCAAAATAACAACTTCAAAATGTCTGGTTGTGTTTTTAAAAATTACAGGAACTATTCCAGAACATCAAAAAAAGTGATGGTTTATCAATTCATCGGTAAATAGACATTAAAACGTTTAAAACTCTTTGATTTAAAGTTTTTGACGTTGTTACAATGCTCACGAGAATCGGGCTGTCGACCGCCGCCATTTTGCAAAATCTATGGGGGCGACTTTTTGTACACTATGTTGAACGATACGCGTAAGCACCATGAAATTCCTGGCGCTTATGACGTTTTTGTTTCATGTGTGCCAGAAAACTAATCCCTAATGACAACTAGCGCTACATGTTTTAATAGTTTGGTTTGATGACGTAACTATTATTTTAACGCTGCAGCGAACTTTAGTTCTAACTCTTGCCAAAATGAAGCAAACTTTTGGTTCGGGGTGTCTGTTCTATACGCTAGTAATATAGTTGTATGTTGCAATGATAGTTCTGGGACACTATTTTATACAGTGATCGTTCTCCTTAGTCTCAAAATTTTGTGGCTGTTAATAGCAAAGAATATAATAACATGGAGTATAGAAGTAAGGAGGACAATCTCCCTTAGGAGAATAGTTGAAAATATCTCCATCCGTAAACAGTAAATAACAGTTCAAAAACTCTCCACAACAGCGCTCAAGTAGCTACGGGGTATGATAAATCGCTGTAAAATACGTTGAGAATGATTTTGAAAATAAAAAGTTTGAAAGCAATGAAATAATTATTGTAAAAAGAATTACGGTGAAAGTCTGCAATAAAAAATTATAAAAAATTCTTTAAAATTTAGTTTGTAGCTACAGTGGCGCCACCCTTATGTATATATTATATATTGCGTTCTGTACACTCTATATACACAAACTTATAAGAGTACTAACGTACTCCATATATAAATAAGTATATACAGGAATCAAGTCAATAGTATATAGTATGGAGTATAGAAGTAAGGAGTACCAACTCCCATAGTAGAATAGTTGAAAAAGTGGCCATCTGTAAGCAGCAAATAACAGTTCAAAAATACTCCACAACAGCACTGGAGTAGCTACTGGGATGAAATGAACTTAGCAGTTGTCGACGGTTTAAGTGTGCTGCTAAACTGCTCAGTAGCTCTGAAATAATTTTATTTCGTAAATATAACCTCAAAAAAGTCGTCTATCCCACTAATATTTTTCGGTGCGTTCTTTAAAATTTACCCCGTAGTTATAGTGGCGCCACCCTTATTTAACGGTTTTCTATGGACACTTTTTAATACACAGTCTGCACTCCTTACTTCTACACTCCATAGAGTCTAATTAATCTATGAGTATATAGTTATCTGTGGAACATACCCTTATGTCCACAAATACGTTAGTACTCGTTAGTACTCTTATTATTGTCCGTTCATCGTAACTTGACATGTAATCCGATTGGCAGCACTGTAATTTACAGTGTTGCATGTTTCAATGTGAATAGGATTCCCAAAATGTAAGGGACAGGCATTATGGATATGGTACTAATGACTTTACTCATGTGTATAATGACCATACTCATGTTTTAAGTGTCATAGTGTACTCTCTGAAATAATTCGTATATCAATAGGAACATTCAGGATAAATTTATTCAGACATGTTTAAAAAGAATCACTTTATATAATTATGATCAATAAGGTGTAAAGGGATCATATCTTCTTCAATGTCACTTGAATACTCACTGTCACTCCCACTTTCATCACTGTCACTGCCAACCCACAATAAAAAGTCGAGTCGTTAATATTTTCCATAGTGTAGTACACCTTCAAATTTTATTTCATCTCGCAATTCGGCAAGTAATTTGTTTAATGTAGGAATTTCTTTTCGTACAGCGTAAAATGACGTAATTTTTTGTCGTATTGCACAAGCATCAAAATCATCGATTTTGATCTTCGAATGGCGATTTGATCGTTTTTTCCTGGTGTTGATACTTTTAATGGAGCGGGCACACTCAAATTTGAAACAGAACTGGCCTCTCTTTCTTGTCTCAAAATTCGGGTTACAGTAGATTCGGATACATCTGTAATCAGTAAACAAATGCAATTTAATTTTCTTTGGTAGTAAATAAAATCAGAATAATTTAGTAACGTTAGTGACGTTACTAAAATACACATGTGACGTTACTAATATATATATATATACTTCTTTACATACAAATATTTTAATATCATTTAGCGAATTACATACAGTTAATCTAAATCTTTGTAACTGGTCACCCCAAAAACATACCGGTCATGGCGGCAACTCGGGCACGAACTTGTTGCAATGGCACAATCAGCTTGTTTTCAGCCTTTTCTTTTTCACAAAAAGAATAAACTTGAAGAATAGTTTGCCTTTTAGCACTTTTAACTACTTTCGGCATTTTTAAAACTAAGATGAAATTATTAAAAAGCAAAAGAGCACACAGGTGGCAACCAATCAAACTAAAATAAAGATGGCGAGTGAGGAAGCAGTGCTACCAATCACTCACGCGTCAAGTTAAGATGAACGTACAATAGTTTGTGGTCCACAAACTATGATTATAATAAGAGTATGCTTATGTCATACTGTCATACTCATCAGGGCATGGAATCTTAGTAGGGTATAGATATTGTCCAGTTAAGCTACCTTATAACTTCAATTGTAAAAAATGAAATAAAAAATTGATAGTTTTAAATAAAAATATTTTAATTATATTCACTTATTGTATATAAATCAAATAATATTGTTTACATATTCTTATTTCTTATATTTTCGTAATAAAATTATAACAAAAACACAATCTTCTTAGCTTATAAGTTGGTGAATCGATCTAGCTCACTATAGGACGTAGTGGAGCGTTTGGTTTGTGTATCTTCGGTAACCCATACAACCTTGGTGGTTTGGTACATGAGACATGAGACATTATAAGCTGGCACAACACTTGGCAAAAATACTGTCACCACTGAGAGGACATACCAGAGCACACACAAAGGATTCATACCATTTTGTTAGTGAGATAAAAGACCTACATCTCGCTGACAATGAAACTATGGTCAGTTTTGATGTTCAGTCACTATTCACATGCCTACCTATTGAAGACTGCATCTCAATTGTAACTAGGAAGCTAGAAGATAACAACATGCCTGCTGAATATGCAATACTACTCAAACATTGCCTCACATCTGGCTATCTATTGTGGAAGGAAGAGTTACAAGCAAGTAACTACAAGCAAGTAGATGGTGTGGCGATGGGCTCACCTATATCTCCGATAGTCGCCGACATATTTATGGAGGACTTCGAGGAGAAAGCCCTTCTTACTGCTCCTGTAAATCCAAGATTCTACAAGCGGTACGTAGACGACACCTTAACAATTTTACCATCTGACAAAGTAACTGCATTTTTAAACCACCTTAACTCTATAAACTCTAAAATACAATTCACAATGGAGTTAGAGGCAAATAATTCTTTAGCTTTCCTTAGATGTTTTAGTCATTTGAAATCCTGATAACACTATTGGTCACACTGTGTATAGAAAAAAGACCCATACCAACCGATATTTAAATGGTGAATATCATCATCATCCTTCACAGTTAGCTACCGTGGGCAAATCTTTGTTTCAGAGAGCACGAGGGATCTGTGACACAAAACATCTGGCCGCCGAGCTGCAGCATGTCAAGCAAGTGTTGCAAGACAACAAGCTTCGGATCCCGCACCTACGTCACAGTGACCGAGTGAAGCCGGCCACAGTCGTGCGTGTGCCTGCTGTACTACCATATGTCAGAGGAGTCACAGACAAGGTTGGCTACATCTTAAAGCGAGTTTCCATTAAAACATACTACAAGCCGCCGAAGAAAATTAGTCAATTTTTACCATCCCTCAAGTGTAATATCCCTCTACAAGATGCAGGAGTGTACAAGTTAGATTGTGAATGTGGTCTCTTTTACATAGGTCAAACAAAAAGATCCATAAAAACCCGCGTGAAAGAACATATAGCTGACGTGAAGCACCGACGCTCCGGGAAGTCTGCAGTCTGTGAACAAGTTCAAGATCGTCCCCACCATTACATCAGATTTGATAAACCACAAATCCTCGCAAAAGAACACCGATTCCTACCAAGGATGATACGCGAGGCTATTGAAATTAAAAAACATCCTAATTTCAATAGAGAGGATGGTTGAGTGCTGCCATCTGCTTGGGATCCTATAATTAACAAAATTAAACCCAAACCCAAGCATACCACTGCAAGACTTCAAGATACTGTAAGTTCGTTTTGCGTAAATCGGACCAAAAATTAATTTTCAAAAACTGAAGGTAGCCGGGCTAACAATGACATTGGGACGTCAAACATCTCAGTCCCCCCCCCCCCGTGACCATGGTTGCTGTAAAGCACCCGAAACGTCGGGAATTAAAAATAAATAAAATCAGTTAAATAAACGCGCTAGAATCCGTAAATTTAGTTTTATTCAATGGAGATTGTATTTCTACATTTGTTGATTCTTTCAGTGGAAAATCACCTTGAAAAAAAGACCAAAGCTTGTAAAAGGTAGGAGAATTAACATTTACTCCCTGAGATTGTAGAACTTTCATTTTGCTAATTATTTCCTCTCCTATAATACCTTCAAAGTCTTTAAGAGACATCATTTTATTTTCTTCTTTGGACTTTTCTCCCTTATTATTTGTTGCTAGACATTTGGTGTAATTTATAGAATTATTATTAAAAGGGTACAAGCCACTGGCTTTGAAGCCACTAATTATGTTATCGGGCTTTATCTCTTCTACAACAGATTTTAAAATGCTGGCAATATTTAATTTGGTCACTACCTCGCCCATGTTATGTGCCTGAAATTTTGCTACTTCTTTTCTATATATCTTTTTTATTGGTCCGAAAACAGACACATCTGCAGGTTGAGTAATACGGGTAGTGTTAGGGTACAGTGCAATCAACTCTATGCCTAGCTCTTTGCACGTTAAGCTAAGCTGTAGTGTAATGTGACTCTTGTGGCCATCATACATACATAAACATAAACACTCACGCCTGTCACCCAGAGGGGTAGGCAGAGACTACAGACTTCCATTTGGCACGATCCTGACATACCTCTTTCGTCTCCTTTACATCCATATATCTACGCATACATGCTCGTCGGTTAAGGGTACTTCTAACGTGGCCCCTTTTCAAAATATCGCCAATTTGGTCGATAAACTTTTTTCTAGGGCGTCCCTTCCCGACTCGGCCGTTCACATCTGCCATATAAATTTGCTTTGTCACTCTTTTCTCATTCATTTTTTCTACATGAACCAAACCACTGAAGCATTCCTTTCTTAATCCTGGTCACAACATCATATTGCATACCACATTTATCTCTTATCATGCAATTTCTCACCCTGTCATTCAGATTCAACCCCAGCATACTCCTTAAAGACCGCATTTCTACAGCATTTATTCTACTTTCGTGCTTCTTCTGCCACACCCAGCTTTCACTACCATACATTAAAGTAGGGACTAACACAGCATTATGAATTACCATACGTGCCTTTTTTGACACATTCTGGTTCTTCATAATAGAGTGTAGTGCCCCATTCACTCTATTCCCTGCATTTACTCGTCGTTCTATATCCCTATCATATCAACCATCCCTGCTAAATACACATCCCAAATACACAAACTCATCCACTTGCTCAATTAACTCTCCTTCTATCTTATTTCACATACCGTTTTGCTTTCTTCTCTTTCAAAAATCATCACTTTCGTCTTACTTGCGTTCACTTTCATTCCCCTTTCTTTTAATTCTCAGTTCATTAATGTAACCATCATTTGCAACTCAGCCGCCGATGACGCAAATATGACTTGATCATCGGCATACAAAAGGCATTTGACGGTTAACTCGCCCATTCTTAACCCACATTCTTCATCTTTCAAAGTTTGCAAACACCTGTCCATAAATAGGTTGAACAGCCAAGGGGAAGCTTCACAGCCCTGTCTGACACCTTTTTGGATGCCAAACCAGTCCGAGTAGACCCCATTGATCCTGACACAAGCACTAGAGTCCCTATAAAGAGACCTTAATGCCCGTATCAAACCAGCGCTCAACCCATATGAGTTCAGTGTTTGCCATAACACATTCCTGTCCACTCTGTCATAAGACTTTTCCAAGTCCATGAACGCACAAAAAACTTTCTGGTTTTTGGCAAAAAACTTCTCCGCAATCATGCGCATGGAAAAGACTTGATCTGTACACCCCATTCCCTTTCTAAAACCCGCTTGCACATCCCAAATTTTTCCATCAGTTTCTTTCATAACTCTTTCAATTAACACCTTAGCATACAGTTCACCCACAATATTAAGCAAGCTGATACCACGGTAGTTTTTGCAGTCCTGCTGTGACCCTTTTCCTTTATATATTGGTACTATAACTGCTTTACACCAGTCATCCGGTACCCGTTTTAATTCCCAACATAAATTAAACAAGGTGTACAGCAGGCCTGCCACCACTCCCTCTCCAGCCCTTAGCATCTCGAGTGATACTCTATCATATCCAGCTGCCTTACCTGCTTTCATTATTTCACCTACACTTATCTCCATACCCCTTTCCACTTCTTTCGGAATTTCTAGTTCATTTAATTCAGACGACTCTTCACTCATAAACACGCTTTCAAAGTATTCCTTCCATCTGTTTAAATTCGAAGCTTCATCATTCAGAATACATCCATTCTCGTATCTTATAGCATTCATTATAGGCTGTTTTGTATTTCCCCTGGCAGTTCCTACGAGTTTCCAGAACATTTTTATGTTAGCCTGGAAATTATCAGATATCCTTCTATCATTCTTATCCGTTCTTTCTTTCTTTTTCCTTTCAATAACTTCTTTTACTCTCTTATTTAGACGTCTAAATTCTGCCTTTTTTCTTTCAATCTCATCATTCATACTAGAAGAATTACCAGCTTTGGTTGCTAGTAAATCTAACCATGCTTTCTTCTTTGATTCAACTTCCACCCGTACCTTATCATCCCACCACAAGTATTACTTTTCCTTTCATTTGTTCTCTTACTTACACCACATACTTCAGTGGCGGCATCCACCAAACCTTTCTTAATATTGTCCCACACAGTATTCAAGTCTAAATCATTCATACACAACTCATTCAAACATCTAATATTTCCTCTCAGTCTACATTTATACTTCTCTTTCACATCTTCATCTTGTAACTTCTCTATTCTTATACGCTGTAACGCAGTGGTAGACACAGATTAATTCGACATAAGACCAAGTAATGATCCGTCCCTACGTTGGACCCCCGGTAAACCCTTGTATCTACGACTGCGCTCCTCATTCTTTCATCCACAATTACGAAATCTATCATGCTTCTATCATCACCTCTTTCCCATGTATACATGTGAATCTTCTTATGACGAAAAAAAGTATTCGTCACAAAAAGATTCTTTTCCACACATACGGTGAGGAGGCATTCACCATTCTCATTTATACTTTCATCACCAAACATTCCCAATATCCTTTCATAACCAGACCTCTTCACCCCAACCCTTCCATTAAAGTCTCCTAACATAATAATATTTTTATTTTCCTTACATTTTGTCAACACCATCCTTACCATGTCCCAAAACTGCTCTCGGATGTAAGTGGGCTTAGACATGTCTGGAGCGTACACCCTTAGCAGGAACAGCTTCTTTAAGCCCACTTTAATTCGTATCCATAGCAGCCTCGGGCTTACACATTCATACTCTTTCACACATTGACCCATTCGTTTTGAAAGGATGAAACCGACACCCTGGCATGCCCGTTCGGTCTCGTCTACGCCAGACCAATACGCGGTATACGTGCCATGTGCAGTGGCATCCTTTCCCTTTCGTTTCGTCTCATTCACACATAACACATCTATTCCTCTGTCATTCATCATTTCGCATACTTCATCCATCTTATCATTCATTCCTCCACATACATTCAGCGTAGCCAGACGGGTTCCCGCAATCCACTTTTCGCCCCTCCGGGAGACAGAACGTGACGGGTGGCGAACCTCGTCGCCGTTTTTCTCCCGGAATCCGGTGGTCATCAATAAATAAAATTACTGGTTTTGGTATATTGTGTTCGGTAAGATATGGAGCAAATATTTCCGTTATAAACTGATTGAACACGTCCGCCGTCATCCACCCCATACCAGTATCACTACGGTCGATATCCCATTTTGGCGGCACCGAAGATGCTACCCTATCGGGTAACCTCTTATTTGGAAATACTATCAATGGAGGGCATGTTATGCCGTCAGCAGAGAAAGTAAAGACAACGGTTACGCTTTCCTTAGAGTTACCCTGATGCACAGCATAGACATTTTTGTCTCCTTTTGCAGCGAGGACACGCCCAGTTGAAGGGCACGTCTGGAATCCTGTCTCATCGGCATTAAAAATCCGCCGAATATCCTGAACGACATCTAAAAGGTTTTCATTAGTAAGGTAGTTTCTTCTTTCTTGAAACCATTTCTTAATGTCACATTCAGCTACACAAGCACTAGCTTTCGTTACTCCTTCGCTAGTTCTTTGGGTCAAGGTGGGGTGTCGTTTTAAAAAAGCCTTCAGCCATCTCTGTCCAGGGCTATTATTAACGAAAGGAGTTTCTCTTGAATTTTCAGTCAAAAATTTTTGAACGGTTGCTAGTACATCATCTGATTTTCTTGGGAAGCCTTTGCGGGCCATTTCAATTAACCATTCCTCAATGGAATTTTCTTCTTGTTTTGTTAAATAGGGTGCTGGACCAAATGCAGACTTTGAAGTAGGTTTTTTTTTAGTTTAAATTGTAAAGTTGCTCTTGGAATGTTATATTTTTTGCAACAGCTCTCAAAGACATTGTTTTACTATGAATTTTTTCTAAAGCCTCATCTAGCGCTTCCTTTGAATAGTGAGGTATTTTTGGCATGATTCTTTATCCTTTAATCTGTTAGAAAAAAAAGTAGTGATTTCTTTAAAATAAATGAATTAATATTATAGTAATTGGCCTACTTTTTATATGGCTTAGAATTACATGTGACACAGTACTTGGCCTAGGCCAATAACTATTAATATATCTTTAAATTTTATGAGAATAGAATGGGCGGTGAATATCGAAAAGTAAAGCAAATTTATTTTTTATAAACATAATTTGTTCAGTATCGGATAAGTATAGTTATTGGCATTACTGGTCAATTACTGTAAACTTTTAAAATCATTGATACAGTAATTGGCCACAATATTTTTTAGGTTAAGTTAAGATGTTAATGTTTTTCAGTTTTAACATGCTTAATGTGCTTAAAACACTATATATTATACAGATTTGCGAACACTCAACTATTATCAGTTTGGTCAAAATATCACTTTAAAAAAAATGTGTACTCTTAGCATTTTTTTAACAAATTTACCTGATTGCGTACCGTCGCGAAGAAATCCCCGATTACAAAACGACGTTTTGACGAAACTTTTTGGGAGTCAACAACTGTGTTGCCAAAATAAATATTAATAAATAACATTTAACAACGAGGTTGCTAGTTTTTTAGAACCAAAGTTGAAAGAAAGAAAGAAAGAAAAGTTTATTTGGTACATACATTATAACAAAAAGAATAAAAATAAAACATTTTTTTAATATCTTATCAAAAATATTTAAAAAAGGAATAACAAAATATGCACCAAAATGGTCTCCACTCAGCTTTAAGTCACGAATTGAAGATATAAATACATCAATTCGTAACGCTGATTTTCAGTGGAGCCAGGAGTGTGAGGCAGATGACAAGTAACAGCAAGAGAAAAAAAATGATCTAAACATAAAAATAAAATAAAATCAGAAAAAAACTGTCAAAATTCCACGTGTCAGTGCAACTTTGATAGTGTAAAGATGGACGAACGGTGGTATGCATACAGAAAAAATAAAATAAATTATGTATGTGTATGTGTGCATGCGTGTTTGAGTGTGTGAGTGCGTTCGTATGTGCATGTACGGTACTAGCATTGAGATTGAATCATAACATTTATGCCTATTTGCTGGATTTTTGTACGGAAATCAGAAACTTTTTTAATAAAGTTTTAAAAGTGGCAACTGTTTTACTATTTCTGATCGGTGGTGGTATATCATTCCAGCACTTCGTGGCAGCAAAACGGAAACTACCACGGAAGGCAGCTGTGTGATGCTTAGGGTATGTGAGTCGTGATGCTGTCCTAACCGCACGCTGCGAGAAAATAAGTTTTTGGTATAAGTATGATGGTTCCTTGGTATTTATAACTCCAAAAAGCAATGATGCAAGGTGGAGGGTACGTCGAGCAGCCATATTCGTCGTGTTCGATGATCATCGAACATCGATGATCATCGAACATCCCTAAGCCACAGTAGTCTATGATTTAAGCTGAGATTAGCCGCCATTTGCATTATATCTACACATACCGTAGACAGAGAAACTTATCTCTAGCACCGAGATCGCCGTAGCGGCTGAGGCTGCAAAGGCGAGCTCAGGTGCCTGTGCTTCCCTACGCTAGGGCGGAGGCACTGCTCATCCCGCAGCGCCGGAGCTGCCACGGAGCGCCGGAGCACAACTTCCCGGCTTCTTACCCCCCTAGTCTCCAAAATTAACGAAATGTACTCGATACCAAGTAGTATTGATACTTTTGATACGATACTTGGTATCGAGTACGTATCGATACTTTCAAAATATTCGGAACCCTACACTAATTGACGTTTGACATCAATCATTTGTCAAATTTATTTTGTAATTGCGTGTTATTTGCCAATTTGTATGAAAAGTTTAAAAAAATATATCTCATGAACCGTAAGTTTCCGCAACCTAAAACTTTGCAAAACGCTTTCTTTTAGTGAGTACTATCTACAAAAAATATGAGTATAATATGGGTTTTGAAATCGATGGTCCATATTGGAAATATTAACCAAAAGGGTTGTGTTCCCGGCGTCATGGACTCTGGAAGTGAGTATCATCCGTTATTTGATAAGATTTAAACTAAAAATATTCTCAAAAATCTCTCATCAGTGCTGTGCCTTGTATGAACGGCTGTAGGCTTATATCCATATAACACTTATGAAACGCGGAAGTCTTGTTATTTCTTAAAGCAATTTATTGTACATTTTTAATTTTTAATGGAAAACCTTGATGGGACTCTGACCGACTGCAACATAGCCTAAAAGTGTAGTTAGCGATAAGTGGGGAGTGTAATTCTGTCTTACCGTGTATTCGTCCATCCATCATACTCCTAGAGCTCAATGTCAAAAAGGGCCATCCGGCAAACCGTCTCGTGAAGTTGACCGTTTCGCCGACAGATTATGACCAACAATTCAATAAAAACTACACCTATATTGCTCTAGCTTGCGCAGTATTAGTGTAATAAACAAGGATGGCATAATTATCATTGCACATGAAGTCTTTCCTGTAAGACTTCAAGGCTTTTTTGTGGTTTGACCAGTCTTCAATTCTAGCTGAAGAGAGTTAGACGCTAGACACCTACTGTCTTTCTGTCTGTAATTCTCAAGTCACATATGTATTGAAGAATCAAGTAATGATAGGATATGGGAGTAAATGAAGTGTAATGGTTAAATTTAGGGTACGACTTTCCATTGACGTCCATCGAATTGAGGGGGGAGGAGGAGGGAGGGGGGAAGGTTTAATACCCCCCCCTTAAAAGGAAAACTTGCGGAGCCCCCCCCTTTTCGAGTTTTTTTCATTTTTAATTCTGAGAAAATTTTCCTCATTTTATGGATTAATATTAAGTGTAAAAAACCAGGAGGACACCTTGGGGGAGGGGGGTACCCCTCTACGGAAGGGGAACCCCTTTCATCAGAAAAAAAATAAGGGGACTGATTGAGAGGGATTTCTGTGTCTATTTTGAGACTGCAACGTCTACGGCGCTGCGGGAAGAGCAGCCTCTTTGCCTTTGCGTAACAAATCGCAGGCATCCATCCTCGCCTCAGCCGCTCCGGCTCGTCCGATGCCTACGATTTGTTACAGCAGGCGGAGGCTGCTCTCCCTAAGCGCCTCCGGCTCTATAATAACACTCTAGGGGTAGGACAGACTCGTACCAAGTGGAGTCGGGGTCAACCAATTTGGTTCTTCGACATAAGTTAAACCTAACCTATTTTATCTATATACTTTTAAAATAAAAGAAATCAAATAAAATTCATAATTTATTAATCAATTTTATATACATATTGTATTGCTTTAATTAATTCTTCGAAAACATCTTTATCTGCTATTTTTATTTTTCTTTGCCAAGAATATTCAATGCCATCAAAAACATAACTTGTAAAAAAAACCAAGTCTCGCAACTCAGTTGTTCTACCATAAAAATTTGTGAGGTGCATGTAATACCAAGTCGGTTAATTTATTCACTCCCTACTTAAAGGTCCTTCTGTTTTAAGTTATTACATAATTAGCTAACCTAACAAAATTTTATAGTGACCATAACAATGTTAAAAATCTTGTATGTTTTAAATATATAGATTGACTTGGCGATAATATACAAGTACACTGATTCATTCACTGCAAATGTAACTTTGTAATTCTATACATTTATATGATATTACAAAGTTATTTATGCAGTTGGTGTATCTAGAAAACTGGACCAAAATTAAAAAATATTTTAGTTTTTCCTTGATTTATACACTAAACCCTAATTGCATTCCAAGTTTGAAGCTTCTATGTCTGTTAGAAGTGCCTTAGAGTTTTGATGATCGGTCAGTCAGTGAGTGACAAAATTAATAAACTTTGACTAGTTATAACTCTTAAACTACTGGTTCAAATTGAAATATACCATGTTTATACAATGTGTACTTGGTTACTGAAAATTCAGGCTTTTAGTTTAATCCACTACGAAGTTATAGGGGGTCGAAAATGGCCTGAATTGCTTCGAGTAAAGTATAGTACGGCCATGCCCCCAGATTAGCCAGTTTGTAAAGTTTGCTTTATAACTTTCTCTACCGAACATCACTTTTAAATTTCGCCAGTAGCTTTCTATTCGTTGTGTGTGTGTCCCATCTGGTGCCACAAATTTATTTATAGGGTCGCTGTGATTAACTTTCTTATGTATATGTCCATATTGAGGTAGGCAATTGTAGGCTCTCCAAAAATCGGTATGGATTTCAGTGCCTACCTCCGCATGCTTTTGTATTAGTGGCACCAACATTTCCGCAGATCTATCATTATCGGGACACACTTCTAATCTCAAATCATCTTTTCCATTTTCTATCATGCCCAGTACCCAATGGCCTTCAATGTGTCTCCCTCTGTTGTACTTTCGTTTTCCAAATTTTGATTCGTCTATTTGCACGATTTTGCCTGGACCACCAATCTTGCCGTTAACTTCTTGGTGCATTCATAAACAATTACTGTCTCTCGGCAGTAAGAAAACCAGTCAGTTATTGTCCTTGTTGATAAAATTGTTTCTTTATCTTCACGGGCTGTTTCTAATTTAACTTGATGATAACTATATTTTTGGCTGAACATATACATCAGTAAAAATTGTAACTCGATGGACAGCCGCGCATTCTCGAGCCATGTTCCCGCTGCCCGACTCACTGCCTTAGTGCGACAGTTACTCTTCCTGCATCGAAATATGCCAAGCTGACCAGTCTTACTGCTGGAGCTTAACGCCATAAGTCTCCTATGATATGAGCACATTTTTTCTGTAGGAAGGAGCCTATGCTCTTCAGCAAATGCAATGCACTGGGCTGGGGTGTTGAGCTGGGTTATGATTTTATACATATTCCAGTGGCACCTAAAACAAGCAAAAATATTCCTATTAGAAATCTAGCTAAGCTAAGGGGCGGCTAAGCTTTCCATTGACGTCCGTCGAGTTGGGGGTTGATATTTTTTTTACAGAAAGGTTACATTAATATAAGCACACACGTAAAGTTTCAACATCCAGAAACGCGTACTTTTTGAGAAAAAATTATTGAAAATAAATTGTTTTTATAATATTTACATCAATCCTTACCACAGATTACATCGAATTCTCGCCATTGAACGTTCGTTTTCCGTACGGTTAAGTTGTCATACGTTCGGTAGCATTTTATTGTACATTTTACGTAAATAATTATATTTTGTTCTCATTTAAATAGTTTTCATGCATACACATATATTTAACAGTTTATATTTAATTACAGAGTTATTATCATTATGAGCTATTAAAATTAAAATGTGTAGTGTTTACCGATTTTTGCCGGTTTGTGGGACGTAACGTAAAACTGACGATTTCTAAGAATTAATTAAAGCAATATGTGTATAAAATTGTATAAAACATGGGTATAAAACAGTACCCACCTATTAGGACAGATAACAAATAAAATAGGTTAGGTTCAACTTATGTCAAGGAACCGAATCAATAGACCCCGACTCCACGTGGTACGAGTCTGTCCTACTCCTAGAGTGTTTTTATAAAGCCGGAGGCGTGTAGGGAGAGCAGCCTCCGCCTGCTGTAACAAATTGCAGGCATCCAGCCTCGCCTCCGCAGCTTCGGCTTGTTGGTCGCCTTCGGCGACCAGTCTCAGCCGCTCCGGCTCGTCCGATGCCTACGATTTGTTACGCAAAGGCGTAGAAGCTGCTCTTCCCGCAGCGCCGGAGATGTTGCAGTCTCAAATTGATACAGAAATCCCTCTGAATGAGTCGCTCTATTTATTTTTGGTGAAGGGGGTTCCCCCTTCCTTAGGGGTACCCCCTTCCCCCCATGAGGTCCTCATGGTTTTTACACTTAATATTTATCCATAAAAAATAAAATTTCCTCAGAATTAAAATTGAAAAAACTCAAAAAGGGGGGGGCTCTGCAACTTTTCCTTTTAAGGGGGAGTAGTACACCTCCCCCCCGCACTCTTCCACCCCCTCCCACCTCCAATTCGACGGACGTCAATGGAAAGTCGTACCAATAAAATGAGAACATCATCAATATAGTCAAAGTCAAAGAAATATGCATTATTATTAATGATAACTCAAAAACTACTGGTCAAATCTTGATCAAATTTATATGGGACCACATGAAAAGTGCTAGCTTTCAAATAATAAAAGAATCATCAAAATCGGTTCACCCAGAAAAAGTTCAGAACACAAAAAAAAAAACTCATTTTTGAAGTTTGTTAGTGGTATTGGCATAACCCTATATATGTTTTTTTTTTTTTTTATAGGATTGGGTGACAAACGAGCACACAGTCCACCTGATGGTAAGTGGTTGCTGTGGCCCATAGACATCTACATCTATCCTCAATTACGAATCAAAATGCAGATGCGTTGTCACCAGTGAGGACTAAGATGGAATGCCTCGTTTCCAGTAAAAAGGGTCTCCGGTTCTCTACACTCACCATACGAAACACAGCAGCATTAAGCTACTATTTCACGCTGGTATTCTATGAGAGCGTGGTCCTTCCCCGGTCGAGCCGACCCATTCGTGCTACAACTATACATCTAATATAACTGCAGCATGGCTCTACCACATATAAAATGTGTTGTAAGAAGGAACTAAGAGAATGTGAGATAACCTCTCTTGTAAAGTACCTGACCAAAATAAAATTAAACAGACTGATGAGATGGGCAGCAGTATCTAATTGAGAAGAGTTTGGGTACTGCTAGCACAAATTTGAGTGTGGCAGTTGTAGCAAATCCTCCTTTGGAGGCCTATATCCTACAGTGGACTATTTACAGAGTGTTAAGGTACATAATTTAAGTAATAAAAGTAAAAACTAATGAAAGGACTTTTTGTAAAAGTTCGGAGTGATTAAGTAATATTTTTATTTTAATTACAGTTTATTTCGGTTATAACGACGGCGGAGGGACCACTTAATGCCGTCGCTATATCTGGAGGTCTCTATATCCGAAATAATAAAAAGTCATGTACATATTTACTTATCATTTATTTTATTAAGTTATACACGGGTGTTTTGTGATTTTTCTTTATTTTCAGGGATTTTGATTCAAAACACTCCATAATTTTAGCGCGGTTTTTCCACATCGTTGATATTGTAGAATGTGAAACTCCAAATTGTTTACACAGATCAACATTGTTTTGTCCATTTTGCAGTCTCGAAATGATGTCCACTTTTTCTTTAACAGTAAATGTACGTCTAGGAGCCATATTCACAAGTTTAAGAAACACTGTTCACTCACTGGAATTTCTATGTAACTGATTCACAAATTTAACTTCGTAAACATGCTACGTAGTCCTACATACAAACAAAGTATTAGTTTGACCATCTGGACCATCTGGATCGACCAACAAAGGATAAGAAAGCTTAATAGTTTTATGAATAAGTCTTTGTGCCTTTGCCGACTCAGTCGCAATATCCGCAAGGGAATTCTAGGAATAAAATTCTAGTAATCGGTTATAAATGGTTCATAAAAACAAGTCGCTATACCCGAAATTGACGCTATAACCGAAGTCGCTATTACCGAATGAATTTCTTACGAAAGTATGCTTTAAATTCAAGGGACGTAAGTTTGACGTCGCTATAACCGAAAAGTTGTTACAACCGAGGTCGTTATTAATGAAATCCACTGTATTGAATTTTCTTTTTCAATAACAAGAGGCTATGGTGTGTGAATTTAGACGTAGTTATTGTGAGAATGATATAGCAATATTATAAATTTATAATTTTTTTTTTAATTTATTTTATGTACACACATTAAAATACAGAAGCTGTCTTATTGTAATTTCGTACAAAGGTTCTACTTATTCCAAATTAGCTGAAATATCTTCCAGTAGACCTTTTCTTTAAATATACATAATTTTTATTTCAGAGTCACACAAGACACTCATTTATTTCCAAACCCAGTTGAGACTGAGCGCTTTAAAGAGTGGGTTTTATCTATTGGAGGGGATATTCTTGGTTTGAATAATGAGTACATTTTTAAACAAAGTTGTGTTTGCCATGCTCAATTTGAAGAGAAATATTGCTGCCGAAATAACAGAATAAGCAATATTGCAGTGCCAACAATAAATTTGCCAAGTAAGCTATATGATTTCTCACTTCTAATTGTACCATATTATGTAGAAATGATTTTTATGTCATAAATACACAGCATACAATACATTCTTCATCGTTATTAAAAATTTACTTGGTGATATGTGAGCACATGGCCCACCTGATGGTAAGTGGATGACGTGGCCCATAGACATTGAAATCTATCCTAAATTAACAATCAAAATGCAGATGTGTTGTCTCCCCACTGAGGACTAGATGGAATGCCTCATATCCGGTAAAAATGATCTCTGGTTCTCACATGAACCAAACAAAACACAGCAGCATTGAGCTGCTATTATATGCTGGTATTTTGTGAGAGTGTGGTCCTGCCCCGGTCGTGCCAATCCATTCGAGTTACAACTATAACACAGCCGAAGCAAGGGTCTACTACTATAAAATGAAATCAAATAAAGGACAAACATTAGTTGATGAGTTGCATAATATGTATTCTATCTATATAGAGTTATTCTATCTTCTATGTCTGTCAGTAAATCACATTTTTAATGTTTAAGCAATCAAATGTTCATTGACTATAGTTAAGCTTAATGTTTAAACCATTTCATTGTATTTTTCAGAATCAATATCTCTCCCAATATTTACACTCTCTGAAAGAAGGCCACTTAGGCAATTAGAGTATTCTTCCAAACCTGTACCATCAGCCTCATCGGGTAATTATACAAAGGTTGCATTTCATTATTGTTAACTGCATGAATTTTTGTTGTATGTTATAATGTTTTTGTAACTTAATAAAAGAAACATTTAACTTTAACACAATATGACACTTTTACAGGAACTAAAATAACTACACTGCAAAAGTGTCCTCACAAATGTAATCTTAATGGGTTCGTTTGGCAGAAAAAAGCGCTAGCAAGCGCTTATAAGCGCTAAAATAGTTTTCGGCCAGGACACAATTGCTACTTCAGTAGCGCTGACACAATCCGTCATTTTGCTTATTTAATTTGTTTGTTTTGAAGTAGAGTTTATAAGTTGTTTTGTGCAATATTAGTTTTAAGTAATATAATGACATGAATAAACATATACATGCTATTAAAAACTCATGATTGGTAAGTTTTTAATATGAATACTTTACAAACATATATTTAAATTAGGTTAGATTCCCCGGTTTAAACTAACATCGTGTCCTGGAGGAAAATAGCTACTTACGATTTGACAGCGCTTACCGCTTACGATCGCCATTTTGCTTACAAGCGCTTGCTAGCGCTTTTTTCTGCCGAACGCACCCTGTGTCTTGAGTCGAAATAAAAAAAAAATCATTTAATTTCATTACTGTTACTTTGAGATTTATGACACCGACTCCATTTTTATTACCTCGCTTTACTTTCCATCCAGCTGTGTTAGCTAGCTGTACCTAGTTTATCACATAATTAAATATTGTTACTTTAATAATGGTTTTATTTTAGTTTGTGCTGCTGGTCTTACCACTACATTTTTTGAAGCTGATTTTACAGAGAAAGAAAATATTGGTATGTCACTTGCCTGATATTTTTTATATTTTAGTTTCATATTATTTAAGACACTTTAGTGGATATAATATAGTTTGTAACTTATTACTTTACAAGATGGTTCACTCCTTATTTTTACCCATTTCCAGTTTAAAAGGTATTTCATTTTTTTTTAAAGTCTGGATAATTTGGGATGCCTAAAAAAGGGAACGAGATGGTGACAGGGGAATGAGAGGGGTCATCCTCTTTCTAAACAATTTAAAAAAAAACATGTAAAATTATTGGCGATATATTAAAAATGGGCCAAATTAAGCCCCTTAACCGATGAGCATGTTTGTGTAGGTATATGGATGTAGAAGAAGCGAGAGAGGTATGTCAGGATCATGCTAAATGGAAGTCTGTAGTCTCTGCCTACCCCTCTGGGTGACAGGCGTGAGTGTTTATGTTATGTTATGTTTTTTTTTTTTCAATATGACTATCTTTTAATAAGCTATCCATTATTGTAGAATTTTACATATGAAAATTTTAATTGTCTCTTTATTGTTCTAGAGTGCCGTACACCCTCACTTGCTGTCACTCAGAAAATTAAGAAAACCATTGCAACTACTCATACTGAAAAGAAATTGTACTTGAAGCTGGTACAGGTAAAAAATAAACTTGCAAAATGCCATACTAAGGTTAAGTAGCAGTCAGCAAGTCTTAAAGCAGCAAAAAATATTATCAACAATCCTACATTTTTTAATTCACTAGAAAACTTGTCAAGTACTGCAAAGGTTTTATTATTAATGCAGTTTAGAGAACATAAAAAGAAAGGCAAAGGCCGTCGCTTCTCAATTGAGGAAAAAATACAAGCACTATCGATACTGAAACAAAGTCCGAAATGCTATCGATTTTTGCGTAATATTTTTATATTGCCAGCACCTCGCACGCTTGCTAAATTATTATGCCAAGCAGATGTGAAACCTGGAATTAATGATAAAATCTTCACTCAATTAGCAGATATAAGCAAGAAAATGAAAAATGAAGATAAACTTTGTGTGCTTCTTTTTGATGAAATGGCCCTGAAAGCCAATTTAAAATATAGTGAGAGACTAGACAAGGTTATTGGATTTGTAACTGACGGAAAGTTCACCAAGTCTGACATGGCGGATCGTGTACAAGTGTTCATGATTCGGGGCCTTCTTAAAAATTATAAAAAGGCTGTGTCTTACACTTTCTCTGCTGCTGCTAATCAGGATCAGAAATAGCAACACATCTAAAGACGATCGTAAAAAAATTACAAGAAGCCGGTTTCACAGTGGTTGCAACAGTCTGTGACCAGGGTACTAATAATAGACAAGCAATTAAGTTCCAATTAAATGAAACACGAGGTGCCTGCTCTTAAAAGAGCAGGAAAGGAGCCCAAGGAAAATGTCATAATGATTGATAATCAAGAGATTATTCCTTTATATGATCCTCCACATCTTTTGAAGTGCATTAGAAATAACTTACTTACGAAGGATCTTCAATATGTTGTAAATGATAAAGCTCAGACAGCCAAATGGCAACATATTGAACTCCTTTATAAAGAAAATCCTGGCTACAAGACCATTAGACTAATACCTAAACTCACAGATAATCATGTTTTACCCACCAAGATCCCTAAGATGAAGGTAAAATATGCAAGTCAAATTTTTAGTCGTACTGTGGCATCTAATATGGGATATCTTGCAGGTAAGAAATAGTTTATTATAATAATTTAATATTCTAATATATTTAATATTGTAATTTTATATTCTGTCTTCCACTCACTTATTCTGATTTGATAAGGGTAACAATGTGTTGGTCTAGGAACAGTATGATAAAAAAATTAGTTGCAGACTAATAAATGTACCTTTTTTTATAAGAGAAGGTTAAAAAACATGCACATGGTCCACCTGATGGTAAGTGTTTCCTGTGGCCCATAGACATCTACATCTATCCTCAATTACGAATCAAAATGCGAATGCGTTGTCATCCGTGATGATTAAGATATAATGCCTCTATTGTAAAAAGGGTCTCCGGTTCTCTACACTAAACCATACAAACCATACAAAACACAGCAGCGTTGAGCTGCTATTTTACGGTGGTATTATGTGAGAGCGCAGTCCTTCCTAGGGCGAGCCGACCCATTCGTGCCACAACTATACTATTGCTATAGCTGCAGTATGACTAAGATCATGTCACTTTAGACTCAAATTCTGGTTGGTAGACATTTCTCAGACATACGGGCTAGGTAAATTTAGTACTGAAAATTGTAATTAAATGAATAAGGTTGCTATTCATACTGTAACTTTTATAAAACTTATATGTCTCATTATTTATCAAATTTCTGTTCTTTTATTCGGTTCAGCTTAAGTCTTTTATGTATTTATGGCTAAAATAAATTATGTATTTAATGTATAAAAAATTGTGTGTAAATAAAACGGAGAACACATTGCCTCATTTTGCCCCGTGGCTGACATAAGAGATGAAATATCAAAGAAACTTATGACTTCCGTCTAGTCGGCGATATTACCATCTGCTGTACGCCAGACGTAAAATATCCAAATCGACGACGGACAAGCTGCATTAAAGATGTTCACGTCTAAAACTACGATTACCCACCCGCCAAGCATGACAGTTTCAAGTCCAGCAGTACACTTTAATTGACCTATTAAGTTTACTGTTGGACGAAAAGAAAAATGTCACAAAACCTTGCTATGCTCTGATAATACTAGTGTTTACTAAAAGATCAATTCTTTTTGTTTTTCAGAAAAAGGCATTCTTACCAAAGAATGTGAGGAAACTGCTGAAGTACTCCTCTTCTTTGACAAAGTATTTGATTCCGTCAATGGAAGTTGTAGTAAAGAAAAAAAAAAACGATATGGAAAACCTCTTCTTGGACAAGACCAAACTCTGAACATCATAGGATCTGGAATGAAGCTAAAGCTATGTTAAATAATATGAAATTTATAAATAAAACGTCAAATAGTGCTGAAAATGTACCAACAATCAAAAATTGGGTATGGACACTTAATGGTATACAAATTCTTTAAAAAAAAATGGTAATTGAGTATGGTATTACTTTTGTTTGGATGCGGCCACCTCAACCAAGACCCTATTGAAAACTTTTTCGGGGCCATTAGAAGCCATGGGTGCCGCAATGTTAATCCAACACCAGAAGTTTCAGAGTGCCTACACTACACTTTTAATTAACAATATGTCCAGTGTCCATGCCCCAGGTGCTAATTGTGAAAAAGACACTTGTAAGGCTTTAGAGTCTCTTATTCACACAGATAACTGCAAATCTGCTACAGCCTGTGACCTTAAAACAATCCCGGATGTAGAAATAATAAATATTGAAGAGAAAAGTGCTCCACATATAAAGGGGGCATTGGTTTTTGGTTTTTTATAAATGGATATTATTTCGGACGGCAGGGACACGTCCAGTGCCCGCAGTCGCCCTGGGACAATCTCCCACTTGATGACGTACGCTCCTTGCTTAGTGCTGGTGACGCGCGTCCCACGCACCCTTGAATGCATATGTGTAGTACGACCCTACTAGGACCCCGAGAGAGAGAGAGATAGACGATCAGCCGGGAAGAGGCAATTAAAACACTTTTTTCCTAGGTAGCTTCTTATTCCTTAGGTTTCGGCTTCCTTTTTTCTTGTTATTGTAGCCTCTTCGACGGCTGTGCTGCGACTGCGATTTGAGCCGAAATTTGCTCGACTTATAACCGCCGGCGTTACCGTACGGACGTTAGCGCGGTTTTCCCTGTCTCGCGTGTTGTTTTTATTTCGAGCCGAAACCTTAGGAGCCTTTATTTATTAAAACTTTCACATAACCCTTACAATTTATACATTGTTAGATTGCTCTAGTACTATTCTATAATATAAAATAATAATATAAACTATTAAGTTCTTAACACAAAACTTCTAAAGCAAAAACCTTACAAAATTGTTAGTTTACTATACATTATATCCTATATTTATTAAATCAGATGTCTGATTTACTTATTTCTTTTTGTTTATATTATGTTACATTTAAACCTTTAATCTAACACTAGTTTTCAAGCGCTAAACAAAACTTAAATTTTTATTAGTATTTACAATGAAAATTTCGCTTAAAAACTTCCTTATACAATTATTATTGATAGAGTTAATACACTAATTACATTAATTTAGAAAATATAATGGTTTCATAAACAAAACACAATTCGTCACTAGTAAAATGTATGCCTTGCCATCGACACTAACTATACTAATTAGGAAATCATAATAGTCTTAAAGCACCGTTCGCCACTGGTTAATTACGCTTGTCGCCGACATTCTCCCCCTCGTGCGTCGCACCATCCTCCTTGCTCGGCGATACTCCCGGCACCAGCAGCACTACTCTTAACTGGGTCTTCTCAGCACACCTCCACGCGTCTCGACGTCGACGATCCTTGTTCGCCCATTAGGTCCAGGATACTCTTGCGAGATTCTGCCGCGTGGCCAGGTGCATCTTGGTAGGCTGTGGTCGACGATCAGCACGATGTCTCCAACTTCAACTGTCAACAAGCCGCTGCGTGGCCCTCCACGTAGATCTGCCCATGAGTTCGTTGTCGTCGAAGCTGCCGATTCTCTCTGCGCCGCAGGACCGCCCGATGAGGAAGTGGTTCGGTGTTAGTGCTTCTTCTTCAAGGTTCTCAGCGAGATGTGTGAGACGTCGAGAGTTGACTATGTGCTCGGCCTCTAGGAGTAGACCTCATCTCGTGGATGCTTCTCGTGAAGTGTGGCGTCTAGTGCGGTCTTGACTGATCGCACCAGACGTTCCCATGCGCCACCCATATTTGGCGCACCTGGAGGGATGAATTTCCATTGCACGCCGATATTCTCTGCTTCTGAGGTGAGGTCTTCTTGCTGCAAGGTGTCGAACGCTTCTTTTATTTCTTTTTTGGCGCCGACGAAGTTGGTCCCGTTGTCGCTGTAGATTTTCTTTGGCATCCCTCTTCTTGCGGCGAATCGTCGTAGCGCCATGATCATGCTGTCGGTGGAGAGCGAAGGAGTTAGCTCAATGTGCACAGCCCTTGTGAGGCATGTAAATAGAGCCCCCATCTCTTTTCGTGCCGTCTTGCTACGGTGATTGTCATGGTAGGGGGTCGAAGTAGTCCACGCCCGTGCACGTAAAAGGAGGATTTCCGTGCATCAGCCTTTCCGCCGGTAAGTTGCCTGTTGGTATTTAGACATGCGCAAAACGGTACCCGAAGAAGTAATGCAACATCACACATCACTTTTGTTAGAGTGAATTCACTTTGTGATATTACCATCACTCTAAACATCACTCGAGATTTTGGCATTACAGGCAACTGAGTACCGACAATAGTACTGGTATCTGTCGATCACATTCGACGGACGACACTCGTATCACTTGGGAAGTAATGCAACAAAACATGTTTTAAGTAATTATTGTGAATATCGTATCGAACATTCTTTTTGAGCAAATAAGTTTTATGTGTGTGTATGTAACTATTATTTATTCTGTGATATGGTGTAGTGTAGTAGTAGGTAGGTAGGTAGGTATATATATATATAGGTACGGTAGGTACGTATGTATGTATAGTACACGGACCGCAATAGGTATGTTATGCAGTTGAGTATATTTATGCATATTTAACCACGAGTGGAAAGTTGATTTTCCTTCATACTTAGGCCCACGAACGAACAAAATAACCAAAAGGGACTCCATCCAGGCTTAGGACTGGCAATCTTCGATTGTTTGAAGAAAGGCGTATTTAAAAATCAACTTATATACAATGATTTTTGATCATTATATACATTATGTACATTATTTTTTATATTTACAAGAATCTTCTATTTTGTGCTTGAAGCGTTTTTTTTACTATATACATAAATCGACAAGTTTAAGATACGTTTTTACCCTAATATTTATATTTCATCTGACTTCTTCAGTTGCAGCTTATAAACATTAACTGCGTTAACTTTTTTGTAGTTAAGCGCGTTCTTCTATCGTTAAGTGTTAGCCCTGCTTTTGAAAATACCCGCTCACATGGTACGGATGTCGCTGTTATATTCAGTCTTTTTAGCATGTGTGAGTGAAGGCGTGGGTAGATGGCTTTTCGTTCTTTCCACCATAATAATGGATCGCAGTGTCGGTTGATTTGCGGCTAATTCATATACTTGTCGAATTCTACTATACTCGCAGCAACCGGATTTTCGGGTACCTGGCGTGCCACTTCTTCATAAAACTGTTCCCAAAGTGAGCTTACTTTTGAGCAACCTGTGGTTGGTTCGACAGGCTCTGCTGGTTGCAAAGGGCGTTCGTCTAAAAGAACTATCCTCCCAATTTTTAATTTTAAATCAGCTGCCGCCGCTTCGAAGTTTCTTATATCCTGTATGGCTTCCCTAAGCAACATGTTCTTTTCTATATCACCGAAATGATGCATAGTTCTGTTTTAAAAAAAGAAACAAGACCTTTAATGGTTTCCACGGTTTCATTCGAAAACTTTTGAATTTGTACGTACATTAGTTTGCACAGCACTATCAATAATCATCCAGTCGTTGGGCGCCAGGGTCAATTCGGCTCTCATAATTGCTATTGAAGCAATAGGAGCTTCTTTTATCTTCAGGAACCGGTTGAGCATATCGTACGTAGAGTTCCATCTAGTGCACACGTCTTGTTTCAATTTCAGTGGTGCCAAATGCATTTGCTCCTGTATCTCTTTAAATTTTCTCTGCGCAGGCATGCTTCTATTGAAGACCTCCACCACATTTTTCCCCTTGATCACGGTGTGATTGTATCAGCGATAATTTCTAGGCTGTCCTTCACAACTAGGTTGATAGTATGTGCGAAACATCTTATAGAACGCCACCCGCCGATTCGAACGGCACCCAGAATATTAGACGCGTTGTCGCTGACAATCGCGCAAATTTTCTGGTCAATGCACCATTCACGAAATTTCTCTTTAAGAAATTCCGATATGTTTATCATTGTGTGACTCTCGTTAAATTGTAAACAACCAATCATGACAGTACGTAAAATGTGGGTTTAGGTAGGGTTATAAAATGGGCCGTGATGCCAATATAATCATCATTCGTTACTGAGCGCCATCCATCAGTAGTAATGAGTTGACATTGTATGATTGTGATCTTTTTCTTCTTATACTCATATTTTAATATTTTATTTTCATATTTTAATTTCTCAACACGCGCTGCTAAAGGCTTAGAGATATAATAACACTAATATTGCATATTTGTTTAATTTATGATTATTATTTTTAATTATTAATTCATAAGTGGTACCTATTAATTCGTTTGTTATAATTGGATGATTTTTTTGAAATATTTTTTGCATGTAAAATTAAACCTTGTGTGCGTGTTGGATTTTCTGTAAGCCACAAGAGTTTTGGAATTAAATAAATAAAAAAAAATGCAAACGGCAGTGCCTGACCCACCACCAACTTCTTTTTTCATACTTTAGATCGTCCTGTTATATAACTTGGGCAGAAGGCTTTCAGAAAGAGTTTTACGAGTGGGCAATTTATATGAAGGATTAAGCATGTCCACGAATTTTCGGAATTCCTTCTCTTCCACAAGTCTGAAAGCATGATAGCCTTTGGCTATCATTTTTATTAGCTGCTCGTCCAGCTGTTGCGTCCTAATTAGTGGAAGAGGTTTTTTGACTACGATGTAATCTTTTACTGTAGTTCCGGCCACCTTACCCTTTGTAGCTGATATAATGTTAGCTGTTGTTACAGTTGGTCTGGTCCCAGAAGAAGTGGTTGTAGTCACCACTGATATTGTAGAACTTGTGGTGGCCACTTGTACATTCTGGTTGGAATTTTCTTCGCTTTCGTCTATTGACTCAAGCCTTTTCGGTGCGACATTTACCGTCGGATGGACTTCTTTCATGTGCCTACTTAAGGTCCCAATTGAACTGAAAGATAACGTTAGTATCTTTGAGCAATAGTTGCAATTAGCTTTCTTCGGCTCTGTGCTGTCAAAATGGTTCCAGAGAGGACTAAATTTCCGTTTTGATGCCATATTCTCACTTTTTAGGTAACAAATTCACCACTAATTAATAGTCACACGTGAATACCTAGGTACACAAAAAAGATACCTAGGTACACAAAAAAGATACCTAGGTACACAAAAAAGATACCTAGCTAAGTATCTAATTTAGTGTTACACTGCACTGTAAGTAAAATTCTCTGCTTAACACTAACTAAAGAGTTTATATACACACACTTTTGGTTAATATTAGATACACTGTATTTATACTTCGTTTTTTATAGTTTTAAGATGAAAAAAGTTTTAGTAATACAATACCTACTGTATGTAATAATTAATTACGATCACCAGTTAACTCCGAATTTACTATCTCTCGTAACTAACGTACGTACGCGTGCAATTACTATTAGTAAAATACAACACTGACCGACTGACCTCTGACCTGACTCAAACAAATCTAAATAAGCTAACCTATTATTACATTAAATCATTAATGCATAAAAATAATTACGGAGAAATGGCCCTTTGTATATTTATAATAAACACCAAAATTGCATACATTACACGGAGAAATTCCAGAAATTGGCGGACCACAAGCGCGGGGCGGCGCGAAGCTCGCGCGTTTTACGTACGTCACGACAGAGCCCGAGTATGCCCGAATGACACCGAATGCGCGCGACGTTTTTCGTTTCATGGTTTCGGGCGGGTGATGTGAGTGATGTGTAATGGTTGGATTTGACGCGTAATGAGTAATGTTGCATCACTTCTCCGAGCAATATTACTCGCGTAATATTACACGCATTACTTACCCATGTCTATTGGTATTTCTTGCGGTCTTGCTTTCCTTGTTTTGCACTATTGACATTGATGCTGAATCGCTTTGATTGCTGACCTTAGACCGAGTACCCAGAAACATTGTCGTATTTCATTCATCACCGTTGCGTGATTTCCATGATTGAAGCGGCAGTGAAATTCTTCTATGATTAGTTGTGTTGTCTTGTCCTTGCTGTCGAGCACGATGGGTCGTTTGTAGTCCCTGGTCACGCCTCGTATCGCGTCGATTCTTCCTTTCAGCCGCAGAAGACCCTCTTCTAGTACTACGTCGAGCCTTTTCAATTTACTGCTGCCCTCTAATTGCTTCCCTTGCTGAAGGCGCTTGATGTCTTCTCTGAAACTGTTGTCTTGGCTTCTGTTCAGCAAAAGAGTTTCAGCTTGCTCAAGTAGTTTGTTGTCCAGTGGTATATATATCCTTTCTGTTATTTTGGAAGATCTGCGTTGCTTCTCTACAGTCTTCGTTCCTTTCTTTCGTGTTATTTTCCAGGTGGGATCGTTTTTGCGGACGTTGACCTTCTCCCTTTTTCTGCAGAGTTGTAAGAACTGCAGTACTCTCGCTGTGGCTTGCCAAAGCCTCTTCCATGAAGAGAGTCTCTCGGGGTCTGGTAATGGATGAGCTGTTTGCGCTGTTGCTGCGACGTCCGCCGCCCTTTCCTCGCCGGTGGTTACTTTCTTGAAGTTTCTTGGTGTCGACCAATGTGCCTCTTCTTTTTGCAGGAAGCTTGGTCCGGTGTACAATCGGTGGTTGCAATCGAAGTATTCCGGTACGTCGCGCGTTGCGTCATCTGCAGGATTCTGCGCTGTAGGCACCCATCTCCAGTCTTGCGGTTTGGTGAAGTCCTCTATCTCCGCCATGCGATGAGCCACGAACGTCTTGAAGGTTCTCGGGTCTGTTTTTATCCAGGAGAGTACGATGCTGAAGTCTGTCCAAAATGTTTTCTTTGTTACTTTCAGGTCCAATTCCTCTTCCGCTGAATGAGCAAGCCTGCTTCCTAGGAGGGCTGCCTGTAGTTCGAGTCTCGGGATGGACACTGGCTTCAGTGGAGTGACTCTCGCCTTTGCTGCCACTAAGCTGACGTGGTAAGTCCCATCTTGAGCTGCTGTCCTCCGATAAACTGCCACTGCGTACGCCAGCTGGCTCGCATCGACGAAAGTGTGTAGCTCCCCCTCGGTGTAATGTGGCGCCAGACAACGCGGAACTTGCAGGTCTTGGAGCAGCTTCATTTTCTCAAGGTATGTTTTCCATGCTTCGTACTCCTTTTCTTTTATTTAGTCGTCCCAACCGACGTCACTTCGCCATATGTTCTGAAGTAGCTTCTTGCCTTGGATGAGAACTGGTGATGCTAAACCAAGTGGATCAAAGGTCGACATTACCGCGCTGGTGACTTCTCTCTTCGTAGGCACTTTGAGTCCCCTTGCTATTTCCTCTGGTGTATTTCGGAGGTTTGCCCTGAAGCCGATAGAGTCCCTTTTCGTGAACCAGCGTAGTCCTAGTGTCTTCTCTTCCTTCTCGCCTAGGTCCACTTCTGTCTTCTCAATAGTGTCGATCTTTACGTCTTGCAGCAGCTCGGGTTGATTTGACGCCCATCCCCTGAGTTCGAAGCCTGTCTTCTTGTGTATGAAGTCCACCTGCGTTGTTATTTTTCTAAAGTCCTCTTCTGAGTGGAAGCTGTGCAGGTAATCGTCCATGTGATGGTTCAGCTCGACCGCCCTTGCTGCCTCTGGATACTGCTCTTAGAAGTCCGCTGCGTTTCGGTTCTTCACATAGATTGCGGTGCTAGGAGATGATGTTGCGCCGAAGATAACAGATGTCATCCTGTACTCCTTCGGAGGCACGTCGCGACGAGCCCCGCGCCACAAAAACCTCAGGCTATCTCTGTCTTCTGGTCGAATACGAACTTGAAGAAAAATTTCTTCGATATCGGTTGCCACAGCTAGCGGCCCCTGTCGAAACCTTAGTAGTATCCCGAAGAGCGACTGTAGTAGATCTGGTCCTGGCGGTAGAGCATCGTTGGGGCTTCTTCCCTTTGACTTGGCTGCAGCCCTGCAGCGTCGAAGACGATCCTTATCTTCTTCTTCAGTGGATGTACTACGGAAAAGTGAGGGAGGTACCATTTCTTCTTGGAGTCCTTTTGTGTCATAGGTGCTTCTTCTGCATACTTGCTGTCGATAAGATGCTGGATCTGCTTGATATGTTCTGCCTTCAGCTGAGGGTCCTTATGCATCTTCTTTTCAATATTGAACAACCGGTTCTTGGCAGACTGTAGCTCTCAGGCATCTGTTCATCTTCATTTTTCCATAAGAGTCCAGCTTCGAATCGTCCATCTTCAAGTCTTCTGCAGGTCTTCTCTAGGATGGCGAGTGCTCTTCCTTCTGAATCTGTGGTGGGTCTTCGTGGTTGCACGCCAAGCGCCTCGATTGCGAAGTGGTCCTTGATGGCTTGATGCATCTCTTCATCTGGTGTGCTGACATGTAGACACGTTTTCATGAAGTGTACTACTCTTACAGCCCCGATATCTAATTCGTGGAGCACCCATACAAGCCCTGTCCTTGAAGCAACTGGTTCTCCTGGTTTCCCTTTCCTTACTTCTTGAGTCACTATCAGCTCCCAGTTGTCTTGACCGATGAGCAGCTGTGGTGATTCCCCTTTGTAATAAAGAGAGTCTGCGATCATCTTCAAATGTTGGCATTCTTCTATCCTTTTCTTCTCTAGGAACTGTAGTGCAAGCTTCAGCTCGTTGATAGTTCGGACTCTCTTCAAGGTCTTCTTGCTTCCTTGATGAACCCCCTTCACTACAAGGTCCAGCGTCTGAGAATCCTTCTTCTTAATTTGTCTGCCTCCTACTGTCTCGATGACCAGCTCCTCTTTGTTGCCTTGAGCGCCGACTTCTTCATTCACCTTTGCATCAATAAGCGACACTTTCGACCCTTCATCCATGAGGGCCAATATTCTTTTGGATCCTTTTGGCCCGAAGATTTCCATTGGAACTATCTTCAGGTATGCCCCTGCGTTATTGACTGCATTCACTGATGTCATGACGCTTGCTACTTCTTCTTGTGTTTCCGCCTTCTTCTCTCCCGAGGTCCTGTTTTCTGATACGACGTGCAGCAAATGATGATGCCACCTCTTGCATTCCTTACATGGTGGTTTCTTACAGCTCTCCTTTCGATGTTTTCTTTGAAGCCATTTGAAGCAAACGTGACTTTTCTTTACTGTTGCCCATCGATCTTGCACTGACGTCTTCTAGAACTTCTGGCAGTCGACGAGAAAGTGTCCACCTTGATACATAGGACAAGTCTTTTCTATTGACCGTCTTATATCTTTTTCTTTAAAGTCCTTTTCCCTTGTAGAATGCGTCGCTTGTCGATGAGTTCTTCTGAACCCGCTCTTCTCTTCTGAGGTCGCGAAGGCTCCACATTTATCTGCTTCGCTGTTCAGGAACTTGGAGACCATCGTCAGGTTGGAGAACTCGCCCTCTTCTGTTGCTGCCGTAAAGTCATACCATCGGACCATTTCAGGTGAATGCAGGTATTGCGGTTTCTTCAAACCCTTTATTGCTGCTACGCTGTTGTTGATTTGGCTCGCAAAGACGCATATATCTCTTGGATTTTCGGAAATCTTTGGTATCGCCCTGACTTTGTCCAATTCAGCCAGCACCAATGCATCAGGTCTTCCATACCGTCTCCTGAGGGCCTGCATTACTTCCAGTGGAGAAGCTTCAGAGTACAGCAGGCTCTTGAGTTGCCCTTTAGTGCTCTTCTTAGTCGAGCCATGTTTTGAACTGCGTTGAACATCGGGGCGGTATCTTCCTAGACCACCTTGAAGGCTAAACACTCGTTGCTGTTGCCATCGAAGTAGGGTAGTACGACCCTACTAGGACCCCGAGAGAGAGAGAGAGAGAGAGAGAGAGAGAGAGAGAGAGAGAGAGATGGACGATCAGCCGGGAGGAGGCAATTAAAACACTTTTTTCCTAAGTAGCTTCTTGTTCCTTAGGTTTCGGCTTCCTTTTTTCTTGTTGTTGTAGACTCTTCTACGGCTGTCAGCGATTGAGCTGAGCTTGTTCGTGTCCAGCAGGTATCGGGCGTGGGGGTATACCCCTTTACCCGGACATTCCTCACGGCACACTACAGTGTGCCGGTCCTGGGCGCCTTTGAAGGTAAAAGGCGTTGTACTTATAATAGCGACTTTTGTCGCAGTTGGACTCCCAGACAGACTCCCTAATCTATATAGGGAGGAGTTCTCTTGGATAGGGTCGCCCGTACGGGGGCCGTGAGTGCAACGGCGCGAAGCCGTTGAGGTGTTCATGTGGCCCGTTGTCGGCACGGTCAAACATACCGCGCGACAGCCGGACCACGAATTCTTGTAGGCTCTCTATCTTTACCGACCCGCACCGACTATGATTCGTAATGACAAATTCTGCTGGGCTTGTAGTCGCCGCTTCTGATCGCTCAGGAGTGCATACCAGGCCGGAGCAGCGTATGTTAGCAGGGGTTTATGTACATTTTGTAGATGGTCTACTTCGACTTTGTCGGTAACTTGGATGTCAGGACAGGACGGAGCATTGCCCGTGCACATCGAGCTTTGCGTATAACAAAGTCGATGTGTGCAGTCATGCGCAACATCCTGTCAATCCGGCATCCAAGGTAGGTCACGGCCTTCTCATATGCGATCTCCTAGCCTCTGAGGGTTAGCCGTGGTGGTAGATTTCTATAGCGGCGAGTGAGCAAAGCGGTCGTCTTGCTAACATTGACGGCCATCCTCCACTCATCCAACCATGGTGGCAGCAGGTCCAGCAGACGTTGCATCCTGGCAGTGGCGATATGGGCTCTTCTGGACGAAGTGAAGTATGCGCTGTCATCCGCAAAAAGCGCCAGCTCAACGTCGTCCTCCCATTCGTGCAGATGCCCTGCCAGGGTAGGTATCTCATTGGTGTAAGCCGCGTACAGGACTGGAGACAGACAGCTGCCCTGTGGCACACCAGCTCTTATCGGTTTAATTGCGGACTCGGCGTCCTCTACACAGACGTAGAACTTCCTGTTTACGAGGAAGGACGCCACTAGCCGCAATATAGCAGGAGGGACACTGGACTGATCGTCTAACTTGTAAAGAAATCCTGGGTGCCACACCCGGTCGAACGCTTTCTCAATATCTAGAAAGACGCCCAACGATGTGCGGCCGCGGTTGTGCTCGGCCGCAAGCAGGTGTAGCACTCCGGTCAGCTGTGTTGCTCCGCCCGAAGTTGGATGCACGGGCGGAGACGTCTTAGCAGTAATCTTTCGAACAGTTTAGCATAGCGGTAGCACGTGATCGGCCTGTCCCTCCCGGGTTTCGGCAAGACGATGATTTTGCCTTTCTTCCAGTCCTCCGGGAAGTAGGATGTCGGCAATATGCCATTGTAGAGTCGACCTATCTCTACAAAGACTCTATTGGGCAGCTGTCGTAGTGCAGCGTTGGTAATCCCATCGTGCCCCGGCGCCTTCCTCGGTTGCATGCGGGTTGTTGTCCTCCGCAATTCAGCGGGGGAGATAAACCACTCTCCTGCAAGCGGTGGTGCGGGCGACGATAGGAACTCCTGCACGCGGCTCTCCTTCCGGGTGTGGATTTCCAAGAACTCAGCACTTGCTGGTTTCGGCGTAAACTGCTCCTCGAAGTGCTCAGCTAGGATATCCGCTCTGCCCTTGGCATCATAATGTTGTTCGCCCGCGTTGTTGGTCAGCGGGAAAACAGGTGGTCGGGTTTTCTTTAACTGCCGGTTCAATGTATAGAGCGACGCTTGATGTTCATCTGCCTTCCAAATGCGCCGCTCCCAGGCCTCCCCTCTGTGAATACAGGCCGTATTGCAACCGACATTTCGTCCGTTAAGGGTGTTCAATCTTGTTTTTATTCTGGGGCAGCGAGTGCGCGCCTAGAGCTTTCTCAGCGCTCTTTTGTGTCTCAGCTGCACGCGGATGTTAAGCGGCAGCTCTTCCTTTCTTCCCGAGAGAGGGACGATCGTAGAGGCCGCGTTGAGGGCCTCCTGGATGCTTGCGGTTATTCTGGTTGCAGCGGCCTCTACGTCGTCCGCTGAGTGGATCGGTTTGTGGACTGGAGGTCTCTCCTGCAGGTGTTGGTGGTAGAGCCTCCAGTTGATCTTGGTCTTGACGGAACGGTCTTAACTATAAACCATATTAAGCCTTAGTGCCAAGGGTAATCAGAATCGGGAGGTGCTGTGTATTTAAGTCGTACAGCACTTCTACCACTACTGGGTAGTTGACGTTCCTAGTGAGCACGATGTCCAATACATCCGGACGCTTCCTAGGGTCGGTAGGGATGTGCGTTGGTTCCTCGGGACATAGAACGTCATAGTTCCGGCTCTCTGCATCGTCATATAGTTCACGACCCGGCGGGTTGATCAATCTTGACCCCCACGCCGGGTGTTTGGCGTTCAGGTCCCCGGCGATGATGCTGGGTGTCGTACCTTCCATAACCGTCCGGATGTCTGAGGAGTAGAATGGAGTCCCTGGCGGGCGGTATGCTGCAAAGATCCTTAGTTCCTCGCCCGCCGCCTCCATTTTTATGCCGATTGAACGCATCGTCTGGAAGTCTGAAAGGTCCAGTTCTTGGTGGACGATGTCTCTCCTCACCAGAATCGCTGTCCCTCTATAAGCGATCCCTTGAGAATTGACATCGTCCCTCCTGTAGATCGTGTAGTTTGGCGGCTTTAGATGCGTTGATGGTCGAGTTTCACCCAGCAAGATCACCTGGATGTCCTGCTGCTGGGCGACCGTGCGATGTTCATGGATCTGTGATTTGAGCCGAAATTTGCTCGACTTTTATAACCGCTGGCGTTACCGTACGGACGTTAGCGCGGTTTTCCCTGTCTCGCGTGTTGTTTTTATTTCAAACCGAAACCTTAGAAGCCTTTATTTATTAAAACTTTCACATAACCCTTACAATTTATACATTGTTAGATTGCTCTAGTACTATTCTATAATATAAAATAATAATATAAACTATTAAGTTCTTTACACAAAACTTCTAGAGCAAAAACCTTACAAAATTGTTAGTTTACTATACATTATAAATATCAGGGGTATTTGCCAGTGCTCAGGACCCTTCGCGTACTGTGCTGATTATTATATATATTTATTAAATCAGATGTCTGATTTACTTATTTCTTTTTGTTTATATTATGTTACATTTAAACCTTTAATCTAACACTAGTTTTCAAGCGCTAAACAAAACTTAAATTTTTATTAGTATTTACAATGCAAATTTCGCTTAAAAACTTCCTTATACAATTATTATTGAGAGCTAACCTTTAAATTTTATAATTTTATTTAAATTATATTCTAATGAGTTAATACGCTAATTACATTAATTTAGAAATTATAATGGTTTCATAAACAAAACACAATTCGTCACTAGTAAATTGTATGCCTTGCCATCGACACTAACTATACTAATTAGGAAATCATAATAGTCTTAAAGCACCGTTCGTCACTGGTTAATTATGCTTGTCGCCGACAGTTATGCATTTAAAATTTCAACAATCACATAATTTTCTTACACTAGGTTGGATCAGAATTTTATAATTAGGATGATTAAAGATAGTTGAGTGTTTTAAAATGAGGAATTATGGGACTTAAGGAACCAGTTGAGATCTCTTCTTTCCCTTGAGGTGAAGAGTTCATTCTATAATCTCCTCTCGAGTGCACAAGAGGAGAGAAATTTCGGAAATGCAGGATTTATTACAATAGATAGGATGATAGAGACAATAGCCATAATTATGTGATTAACCCATGGACTCCACCAAGAGAAGCTAAGAGAGGAATTACCCTGTGGGGTGGCAGGTGCATTATAGAATACATTGTCCTCTAAAATCCCCGACAGGGAGCCTCGTGTATATAGAGCTTTGGGATAGTACTCTTCAGCTTGCTCAATAAGGGATATTGGGGTGTTGGCCGTATCACAACTAACAACCCTTCCTGTCAGAGGGTCAATTCCAGTTCCATTAATCATAGGCAACCAAGAAGCGACCATAGAGTAATGAGTCCATTGTGAATCTTGATACAAATTTCCAGTAATGGGTTCCACCCACAGAGTGTCATTTCTGTGTTCATCCTTAACTTGAAACAGTCCATTTCTTCTCACTAAAGGGACAACAAGAGAGATCGGTATCTGGGAATCTACAGTTGATGTAACCTTATAGATTCCATCTCGGAATTCCCCGATGGCAAAAGGAGAATGAGTAATATACTGAGCTACTTTCCGAGGAAGATCTGGAGGATATAGGGTTGTCCACTTGAGGTGAAAAAAGCCACAAATGTTATTTTGAATTAGTATTAAATTCTTGTTAATCTGCTTTAGTATAAAATCTATCTCAAATCTAAATTGCGCATATCCCAGATCTGAGCGTAAATTGGATGAAAATTCCATAGGGTCCACTGCACGAGAGACTATATTTATGAGAGTTGAAGAGTGTGAATCTAAGTTTGATAATATCAGGGGTAGGTGTCCTTTTTGGTCGATGGAGAGTGTAATTTAGAGATAGGTAATTTAAGATATTTGGGAGTCATAGGGATACCTTCCCCAGAGAAAGAGACTATTTATCCTCCTGCGGTGTGCCATAATAGAGAAGTATGTCCCCCTATGTTACAATTTAGATAATCACTTCCTTCAGGGATGGAATACTGTTGTTTTACGGAGGGAAGAGAGATAATCAAAGTGTTGGATGCTGAAACAGATAGAATACCATATCGAACCTCATGTACCCGAAACGCACAAGGACTAGACTGAGAGGAGTTAGTTGAAATATAAACATACCTCTTTCCGTCTGTGTAAAGATTCCTTGTTACATGACCCCAGTTTCCAATGGGATGACGAATGCTCCCATCCGGATATATTGAAATAATAACTCGCTTGTATAATGTCCTTTCATATTTTCCAGGATAATCATTCTGACAGTAATAACAAAGATACCTTTGATTTTTTTTTTATAGAATAGGGTGACAAACGAGCACACAGTCCACCTGATGGTAAGTGGTTGCTGCGGCCCATAGACATCTACATCTATCCTCCATTAAAAATCAAAATGCAGATGCGTTGTCACCCGTGAGGACTGAGATGGAATGCCTCGTTTCCAGTAAAAAGGGTCTCCGGTTCTCTACACTCACCATACGAAATACAGCAGCACTAAGCTACTATTTCACGCTGGTATTCTGTGAGAGCGTGGTCCTTCCCCGGTCGAGCCGACCCATTCGTGCTACAACTATACTACTAATATAACTGCAGCATGGCTCTACCACGTATACCTATACCTTTGATTCCATGGAATCTCAGGGTCTTCTACTATTTCATCAATCGGGCTTGAGAAATACTTCGAGAAATCAATAGTGCTAATAGGTCGTTGAACAGGAATAACAGTTGTCCCTAAGGTGTTAGTTGATTTAGACCCCCAAAATCCGAAAGTACATGTGGTTGATACTAATTCGGACCACATCAGGATTCCTTGAATGGATGAATCAGATAAGTTTATCTTCCAAAGTGATACGGAAAAAGGATATTGTTCATTTTTAATATCTAGTAGAGATTCACAATTTGGACGAGGAAGATGATACTCGATGCTGGCGTTCACTCGAAATCTTATTTTTGTATCATTGGATCGTGTTATGGATTCAAGGTTGGGTGAGAATGGCATTGCCAATATAATAAGGCTGGAATTAATGAGATAATAGAAGGCTTGAAATAGAACATGTCGAGCCATTTTATTGCACAGAATCATAGCAACCGGGTATTAAGAGATGAGTTGTCCAAAGCTGTGAATATTGTCAGGAGATAGGGTCAGTTAGACAGTGGATATAGAGTGGGTTAATGCTCTATGCACTCTTTTGATTGGTTTTTTAATGGGGATCGTGATGTGATATCTATAGATGGGGAGTGTAAGAGTTTGAATGATTGGAGTTTGAAGGTGTAGTTAGTTATCACCTTCCTTCTAAGGATGTAATTGTTACTTGGATCGTAGTGATCAAACAATCTGTTACCTGGTGTTGGCACATCATATGTGTTAAAACTCTATCTCATTAGTCGGAGTTCAAACTCTGTGGTAAGGGCTGATGAGATCTGCGGCTGCAGTCTCGACATAGATAACGATCACTTTACAACCAATATCGGTTGTTAAGTCATAACAATCGGAATATTACGATTTTTGGTAGTCTGTACTGTCAAAGCTATCGGTACCAATCGTAAACTTTACAATTATTTGTTAAGTTTGCTATTATTTTAGCGACCATTTTTGACAGCCCGCTAAGTGTTCGTTACGATCATAAGTTGTTTCACAATTTTATAAATAATCTTTATCTATTATAATATAAAGTTATAATAAAAGTATTAAGTAATTATGGCGGAATCATATTTAGCATGGGATTTGTCAGAACTAGAACACAGGCGTGTTATGGTTATGCGGCGGCAAATCGCACGAAACCGGCGCCAAAGTGAAAATCCTTTAGATTCCTCTAAGGATAGTGAATTCCTGTACCTTTACAGAATTACAAAAAATATGTTTAGCGAGCTCGTAGGTGTACTTCGGTCATCTCTTCACAACGGCCTTACGGACTTTCTGTGGAGTCCCAAGTGAGTGTCATCATGTAATTGCCCATATACCCCTAAAAACTTACTCTTTTTTGTTTGTATTAACTCTTAGTTTCATTTTTTTCTAAATAGATACTGACGGCACTTCGATTTTATGCAAGTGGGTGCTATCAGCTACCTGTTGGCCTGCAGTGGGGTTGCAGCATGAGCCAAAAATCGGTTAGCCGAGTTATACATGCTGTAACCGAGGCTATTGATGAAAAATTATTGAGAAGATATATAAAATTCCCTATGACCCATGATGAGCGGCGAGCAGCTAAAGAAAAAATTTAGGAATGCCCCACAACCATTTCCTGATGCGATAGGAGCTATATAGACTGTACACACATAAAAATTCTAGCTCCAAAAATGAAGAGGCATATGTGAGTGGTCACCATGAGGGCCATTCATTAAATGTACAAGTTGTAAGTTTATCTTCAGTAATTATTGTTTACCTATTTACTTGCTAATTAAGTTTTGGAGAAAAGCTGAAGCTTTTTAAAATAACTAAATATGGCTCGATGATATTTATTACTATTACATTATTACATTACAATAATGTATTAAAACTATTTTAGTGCAATACTGACACCCTTAACTAAGTGATTACATTACTATGATGAGAATTATAACAAATTATTTATCAATACTTGTACTAAAAGCAAGGGCTTTTATAAGATGGCCAAAATAAGTCTATTGAGTGGAAGTACGAGCATGAGATCTTGGTTTGACCAGCAATAACAATTATACAGTGGAGTCAGCGTCTTCTGTAACATGTTTTTAGTAATACAATATCAAAATTCATAATTCGTGGTCAACATATTATTGTAAAATTATGGCTACTTGCAATTGAAGGATAAGTGGACAAAGATGTTAACTAACAAATAGTTCCAAAAGTGAAATTAGTAATTAAATCTTAGTTTTACAATACAGTATTAGTACCAATACTTAGATAAGATTAATTATAATATATATTATATTAAAAATAGGTTATTCTATCCAAATTTATTAAAAAGCAATGAAAATGTGAGCATATCACCTTTGTTTACTATAAACCATATTAAGTTTTGTTAAGAAGAACTTATAACGGTTCTATGTGGTAAAAAAAATTAAATACTTACCATTATTTATATAAAAAAGTGTATAACCAGTGCATGTTGCCAGTGATGACTTATGGATCTGAGACGTGGTCCTTCATCGCTGGCCGTATGAGGACGCTCAAGGTCGCTGAGCGAGCTATGGAGAGGGCTATGCTCGGAGTTTCACTGCGTGATAGACATGAGGATATCCGCAGTAAAACCAGAGTGACCTACATAGCCCAACGGATTAATAAGCTGAAGTGGCAATGGGCCGGCCATATAGCTCGAAGAACCGATAACCGATGGGGAAGAAAGGTTCTCGAGTGGCAGCCTCGTAGTACCGGTAGGCGTAGTGTAGGGCGACCCCCCACTAGATCGAGTGACGACCTGGTAAGACATGCAGGAAGTCGATGGATGCAGGTGGCTCAGGACCGTGCTTTGTGGCATTACTTGGGGGAGGCCTATGTTCAGCAGTGGACTTGTGAAGGGCTGTAATGATGATGATGATGATTTATAAGAAATAGTATTATTATTAAAAAAAATTATGATTTTTACAAGGCTATTTATTAATTATTGAGATTTTTAGAATAATAATATAAAACCACTGAGACTGAGACCTTTCACCAGTCTTCTTTCCAGTGCCAAAATAAGACCTATGCCCATCTCTATTAATGATATGGATACCTTCATTATAAAACCATACTTGCCTCAAATAAAATGCTTTGCATATCAAAATATATGGTATATCTTGTCCACTAACACCCATATCTATTTCTTGTTTTTGTAACTCAAATGCTATTTTATAGTCATCAATATGTTCTTCAGTGTGTGTATTTGAATCACATTTGTTACATACACTGTTCTAGGCTTTTTAAATATGTTAAAATTTTGTATTGAATATATTGCTATAAGTGCAATCCTTGATGAGATTGATTTGGTAGTTTTCTTTTTTTCCCTACATTTTTAAATATGCATTGAATACATCATTTTTCCAGAAAGTAATGGATTTAAATACTGTTTGTAGATATTTTGAGTACAAAAATAATGAGAACTTCCAGATGGAAAACTTCTAATATGATTACATATGTAATTTTCTACATAAATTCGTGTTTATAAGTATGAGTTTTACCCCATTGTACTTTGAGCGCTGTCACGTCATTTAATTTAATTTTTGATTAAATGGCTGTTACTTTTCTATAAGCAATTTGAAACATATTGGAAAATACGGTCTCACAAACTTTTATGTTAGTACCATCATTAGGTAGAACACAGATATAAGTTGTGCTTCTTTTCCTTTTTTGTTATGACATTTTCAGATCTGATGAATTTTGGGAGATACATTTTTTTTTCAGTGTTACTTTTAAGCTATAGTATTGAGAAAGGAGGTCAATACCCCAAAACTTTTCATAGCACTTGTAATTGAATGTTGCTTTGCATTATATGCTTGTCCTTGGGTTTTTCTTTACCATATTTTTACCACCTATGTCCACTTAGCCCTTCAATTATCATGTTTATGAGTAATCTAATATCAAAAGCTTAGTCAAAACAATTTGAGATTAACAGGTATTAAGGCTATTTCCAGCCTGCATAAATTGCTTAAAAACATGAGCAAAGTATCTTCCCCTTATTATTGATAGTAAAAAGTGTTATTGGATACATTTTACTGAACAGTTTAAGTGAAAAAGTTTAAATTATACTCATTAGTCTTAAGGGCTTAGATTATATTTTTATTGCACCTAGTTACACTCCAGAACATCATCAATAATAAATAAATCTATTAATTATTTATTAGCACAAATAAGTACACTCCTAACTAAGTTTATTTTAAATTATTTTAGGTGTGTGACCCAGACCTGTTAATTTTGAACATCAATGCTAGATGGCCAGGAGCTAGACACGATGCTCACATATGGGCAAATTCACCTGTACGCTCCACCATGAAGCGACATTTTGACAATGGGGATCGCCGTATTGATCGGTTACTTGGAAAGTTAAAGACCAAGGTTACTAGAACAGAATGTTTGTAAGACTGCCAAATGTATATTCGATGTTAAAACTTTTAGGTGATGATGGATATCCTTTGGAGCCATGGTTGACGACCCCAATAAAAAATCAACACCTTGGGACACCGGAGCGCAGATATACTGATGCTCATGGTTCAGCCAGAAACATCATAGAAAGATGATTTGGTGTGCTAAAGTCTGTTTTTAGGTGTCTGTCTCATCAACGCCAGTTAATGTATGAGCCATATACTGCTGGCCTTATAGTAAATGCATGTGCAGTGCTACACAACATGCGTGTTAAATATAGATTGATGGAACCATATGTCACCACATACACAGAAATCATTGTTGATAGCTATAACAATGTTTACTTGGAATGATGTGTATAGTAAATGTTTCATATTATTTGTATAAAGTAATATAGTGTAAATTGAATTTATTAAAAAAAAGTCCCGCTGGGTTTCTTGCTGGTTCTTCCGGACAGAGGTAATCTTCGAACCAGTGGTAAACATAAAAAATTACTGAAAAATCTATATTAAATAAAAATGATTCTATTCTATTAAGTGAATTGAAATAAAACAAAACATATTTTTTTATTTATTATTATTAAGAACACCCAATTTTATCAACAGCTAGCTAACAAATGAAATGCCTCGGCCTGAACTTTTGCTGCCTCCGCCTGCATTCTGGCAGCCTCGGCCTGAATGTTGGCAGCCTCTGCCAGCATCTGTAATGAAAACTATAGATAGATCGAGAAATGCTTGCTAATTCTCTCTAGCATGCTAGTGAATCTTTAGATAATATACGCTGTAGCATATAATATCTATTGACAGATCAACAATAGTTTACATTTTTTTTAACAACATAAGCCACACGAGCACAGAGTCCACCTGATGTTTTGACTTGACGCATGTCTATGTCTAAATCCCCCCCCCCATAGAATCAATGCAGATGCATTGTCACCCCTGAGGACTAAAATGGAATGCCTCGTTACCAGTCAAGGGTTTAGGTTAGGGTCTCCTGTTCACTCCACTTATCGTGGTTTTAGGCGTGGTACTTCCCCAGTCGAGCCGGCCCCTTGCTACGACTATACTACTAACATAACTGCAGCATGGCTCCACCACGTAAAAATATATTGATTTTTTCTTCTGTTTTGTTCAGAATGTAGAAGTAATGTTATAACATACCCCCATTGAATCTGCATTAGATTTTGCAACTGCCAGGAAATCCTCTCGAGCTATGTTCGCTTGCTCGGCAGTAGATCGGCGAGGATTCAGATCTAAAAATATCCAAAATTTATTGCATTGTAATTAAAATAATTTTTGGCTTTATTCTGCTCAAGCTGGATCATCTTGTGAACTAATGTTTATATAATTAGCACTTAATTGAAATTCAAGCTTACTCCTTATCCTTCTGGGCCTCTCCTGTCGTACAGTGGGTGGTGTTGTAATGACAGCTGCTGCTCTGCTGCCTCTCTCTGCTGAAGTAATGAAATAACACACATAAAATGATCACAATCTTACTTTAATAGTATAAAGGTGAATATTTGCAAAGATTTTTGTTTGTTTATTAATCACACTAAAACAGCAGAAGACCTATATCAAATTTGGCACATAGACCATTTTATCTTGAAATAGTGGATAAAACGGCGGAGCATAAATATATAATGTATGTAAATAAGAATTATATAAATAACAAAGATCTAACTTACTTATTTGTGGTGCTGCTGACTGCAGAGTTATTTCTTGCACCTGTTGTTGATTGGGTGCTGGTGAAGCAACAGGTGTGGCTCTGCTGCCACTTGCTACTGAAATAATCAAACACATTAAACATATTAGTGCAATATAACCATGTAGAGAGGTATGAATGTAGGTGTAATAAAAATAACAAACTTACTAATTTGTGGTTCTGGCGATGCTTTGTTTCTCTCAGTCTCAAGCAACTGGTATTCATTACCTGTAATTAAAGTTTGTGTTTTAATACATTGTAGGTAATTACATTTACATTGCAACAAAATTTACATAATATTTTTAATATATCTTAAAAACTTACCTTGAGACAAACAAACGACTTCTACCATTTCTACCCCAGCCTCCACCTCATGTTGCAATGTCTATAATAATTAGTAAAACTATTTATTATTGTAAATTGCATTAAAACCAAAAACTATGATTATGAAGTTTGATTAAGTATATGAAATTGTATATAAGTCATTATTAATAGTATATACTACACACTATTGAACTCACTTCTTCCTCTGGCATAGAGTCAGGGCAGTCGCTGCCAAATGTGTATTCAACACCTATCAGCGACACAATTTTTTTTTCCACCTCAGTCAGTGGAGCAGTGGTGATGCCTTGGTTGCCGGTCCGCATCCTTTCTCGTCTTAATTTTGCCGCTTTAGTGCAGGCTCGGCTTTTGAAGTCTCTCCATACCTACAAAATAAATAATTATGTATTTTAAGTAATATTTTTAATATATCTTAAAAACTTACCTTGAGACAAACAAACGACTTCTACCATTTCTACCCCAGCCTCCACCTCATGTTGCAATGTCTATAATAATTAGTAAAACTATTTATTATTGTAAATTGCATTAAAACCAAAAACTATGTTTATGAAGTTTGATTAAGTATATGAAATTGTATATAAGTAATTATTAATAGTATATACTACACACTATTGAACTCACTTCTTCCTCTGGCATAGAGTCAGGGCAGTCGCTGCCAAATGTGTATTCAACACCTATCAGCGACACAATTTTTTTTTCCACCTCAGTCAGTGGAGCAGTGGTGATGCCTTGGTTGCCGGTCCGCATCCTTTCTCGTCTTAATTTTGCCGCTTTAGTGCAGGCTCGGCTTTTGAAGTCTCTCCATACCTACAAAATAAATAATTATATTACAAATAAATAATTATATTACTTAAGTAAATATTAGGTACACTGGCGCTGCATAATGTGCTGACCGATTTATGTATAAGCCATTAGTAGTAAATCAGAAAAATACTTTAGTAGAAACTTAACTGTTATCCATTGCTCAGGCGTCTTGACGTATCCGTTGGGAAGCTGGTTGAGCTCGTCGGCAACTTCCCTCCAGCCCTTTTCAAAAATTTCCTTGCCCTGCAGGCCACTAAATTTTCTGGTGTACAAATGTGGACTAGCTTCCAGCTTGGACAATAGTATCTCAAGCTGCCCACTCGTAACTCGAGATGTACGCTTACGTCTGAAACGTACATAGAAGTAAATATTCAAATTGTAAAAATTACAGTCTCTAAACAAACCATTCAATAAACAACGATAGATTCGAAATAGGTGTACACATATAATTATTTGGACAGTTTGTACCAGTTATACTTTTCGGGTTGCTTACTTAACGCAGCTCGAAACCGGGCCTGCGCCTGCGTCACTGTCCCCCACCATTGAAAATATTATATAAACTATATTTTATATATTAAAATATATGATATGTTTTATAAAATGTGTAGCATAAAATAAATGATACGTAGGTAATGTCAGCCAAGGTACTCCGTGATGTCAGCATTGTCAAACCGAGACAGACATATAATAGTGCAAGGAGGCAAACTTTTATGTCCTTTGATATTTAACAAGTTAGTTCAATTCTTAGAAACGGTAAAAGCTACTTGTAAGGTTACATACAAAATATTTTTATAAGAAAAGGTTTCTTCTATTTCTTTACAATTTTCAAAGAAAAGCAATGATTTTTATAAAATTATGTCTGCAAATTTTCCCTATTATTTTTTAACAGCCAACATTTTTTTTAAGAAAACCCGCATTATGAATACGTTTTTCGTTAGCGTGACAACAACATAAAGTAAATATAATTAACGATCTTGCACGGAATTTCGATTGTAGAGACTTGCATTTATTGTAAGCATCGTTACGGCAAGCAATTTTTGTTGTTATTATTTAGCGATCGGTAGTTTGCGATGGAGTCGCTATCTACGTCGAGACTGCAGCCACTTGAACCTTCATATTGTAAGGTATAGAAATACCCTTTCTGAGACCAATATATTGTTCTCTCTCCCATGGTGGAAAAACATTTAGAAGTTGGATCCTTATAATTGATATGAATGGGAAGATCATCCGGGATGGGAGTTAACCGTAATTGAGAGTGGCTTTTCTGGGTTACAACCGCTTGGGATTTGGAAAAACCATGATACTCTTCACATCCGATATTTTGAGAGAGGACAACTGCCCAACTTTTCCTAAAATAATCAGAGAATAGGAGGAATCAACATGAGAAGAGAGGTTTGACTTAAATCTGTTGTCGTCGAGTATAAACAAGGTTTTAATTATAGTGAGTTGTCGAATCTCATGAAGGCCTCGTAATTTGTCCGGAGAACACTGAATTCTCTCAAAATATGGTAGATCTCTAATGTAAAGGGTGTCCCCTTCTTTGAATTCATATTGTTACGAGCTTGAGGTTCGTGACAATAAAAATTGCCGATAGAATTACCTAAATTCTAACACTTTAATTCACTTTACACTAATTAAAGTTAAAAACACTAATAATTAATCACACTGATTCACTTTATTCCGCTCCGAAGCTTCGCTTGTCTCGCCAACTTCAATACTTCACCGATCGCATCTTGCAGCGCCTATAAATATAAATTAGCACCGAAATATCCAGAATATTCAAGTAAACACGCGCAAGGTACCGTAAAACGGGGTGACATTGATTAATTTTAAACTTCAAATGGATCCCACGCTTGCAATTTAAACGATAAAATGTTAAAAAAAATACTGTGGTGAAGACTCACCACGCAAATTAATTATTACAACAAAAAAATATAAATTTGTAAATAATTATTTAGAAAAAACATAAAAACCTGCTTATCAAAGTTTTATTGAAAATGGGGCTACTTTGATATGGTACTCATTTTTTAATTCATCGCAGAGTGACCCCAATACATGACAAAAATCAATAAGTAAAAATAATTTAGAAGCTATGGTTTAGAAAATATTGCGTTTTGAAAATTTTTGGGGCTACTTTGAGTCAAGGGGTGAATTTGATATGTGGGTATATTACAGTGTAAACAACCGAGATAAGCCGAATATTTTTTATTATTATTTAAGAAAATTAAGTAACAGTAACCTAACATTAATCAGTCTAAACATTTACTTTCGACATGCATAATTTTTATCACTTAAAACAACAGTCTTATAATTATATAAACCTATTTTATAAAATAAAAGCTTAAAAATCAACATGTTAAATGTTTACAAAAGGTTAGTTAAATATAGATAATAAATTCTACAATTCTTTGATCATCACATCATTGGGGAACGAGTAGCATTCATTGATATATTTCGGTTTAGGCAGGTAAGTAATAATGTCACTAATTTCAATAATTGATAAATCTTTAGGAACTTCCTTAAAAATAGTTTTGGTTTTTTTTTTGGGACTTATAACCTTGAACAACAAGTTTAGTGTCAATGATATCTTCAATAGAACATACATAATGATATGTCTTTTTTCCCTTTTGTGATCCAAACTTTGCTAAAATAAACTGCCCTATTGCGGGATTTTGTGCCAAATCTGTTGAGGTATTTCTAGTATAATTCGGTGCTATATTTTCATTATCAGACTCACAATCGGTAAGATTATCATTGGTGTCCTCGTAACCAGTTCTATAGCTTGTGGATGGCTCGCTGATAACAGAAAGAGGAATTTGCATCGATATTGATTCAGTTTGTACGAGATTATCATTTCGCTCTGAGGTGTGTTGGACCTCAACTACATCAACTTCTTGATTTGTGGGGCAAGATGTTTCATTAAGTGTCGATATACTTTTACCAGGTTCAATTTGTAGTCTGGTCCTCTTCCTTGGTGGCTGTGATTCATTCCTAAATCTTTGTTCTCTTAAAAACTCTGTTAAGGAATCTCGAACGCCAGTTTCGATTTCAGGAGAAGGCGACTCAGGTGGCAATTTATTTAACACCCTGTTCCTATCAAAAGGAGAGATACCAGTAGCCCTAAAACTGCTCACCAAATTTCTTTTCACAGCTGACAATTCTGTGCAAGCCTCTTTATCATTTTTTGGTGGCTTTTGGTCCATATTAATTATTGTCTTTTTCAACAGATGTGGGAAGGACTCCTTAAGTATAGATATAGTTCGTAAATTGGCTTTTTTCCAGTCTTCAAGCGTTTGTCGCCATGCAATCTTTAAAGGACGAAAGAAGCCGACATCGAGTGGCTGGGTTAGTTGGGTTGAATTTGGCACCAAACATATAAAACTGATGTTATTTATTTCACATGCACCTAATACATCGTTGTCAATGTGAGACGATAGATTATCACCTATCAACACCTTTTTCTCGTCTAATCTTTTGGCATGAGGCAAAAAACAAGTCATGAACCAATCCCTAAATGTTGTGTGTCTATCCATCCACTAGTTGTTCTATTATACCGACATCCCCGGCTACAGCATGGCTTTTCACAGCATGGTTTACCTACAATACCTTTCTCTTGCCATGTATCGTACAGGTGAGTACTTTTGTAAATTATATATGGCGGCAATAATGTGCCGTCTGCAGAACCACAAATCATAACTGTAGTAGAACTCTTCGAATAGTTCATTACTTTCTCAGGGTATTTTACTCCTCTTCTATATACACATTTTTTTGCCAGGATCGTCTGCCATATTTGATTCGTCATAGTTGAATATATTGGACGGTGGTACATTTTCTATCTCAGAGTGAAGATTGTCGAAATACTTATTTAATGACTCCCGGCCGACAGTCGCTCTGGACCTTTTGATATTAGTGGATAGTCTTTGACCATAGGAGTGCTTATGACGCTTCAGGACACTAATGGCCCATTCGACACCAGGCAGGTTATTTGAAAACCGTTCTATAATCTTTCACTGTCGATCTAAATAAGCCTTAGCGAAACCTCGAAAAGCGAGGAAACCCCCAATCACCACATGTAGCCGCAGCTCGTAAAATTACTAATTCCTCTTGATGCGTGAAAACAGGTTGGCCACCAGGCGTTTTTCCGTGTAATCTTTTGTAATCCTTTATATTTATTATAAAGTGTTCCATACGGAATTTTATATTGAAGTGAAGCAGCATTAATAGATCTGTCGTTGGTAATTTTCTCTAATTGCTTCTCCATTACCCTCTGTATACTTTTTGTAATTGCGAACCTTGAGGCAGCTAAAACAAAACAAGAAATAGAGATTAAATTGATAACCTATACATTACTCCTATAAGATTGGGAACAACCACCATTGGGGAAAAATTGATAACTATCAAAGTCGCCTCGTATACTCTATCAATGTAACCCCGGTAAACTAAAGTGTTCATGGAAAATAAAATGGCGGCCGTAAACATAAAATGCAAACATGTTCTTAATCTTAAAGAAACGTACAATTAAAACAGTGAAACACTAAAAACCAAACAATAATACTTACGGTTGTGCCACTGAAGTTATTCACACAAATTTTTTAATGCTATTTTACACTAAAGTTTAACAATTATTTTTATTTGCTTCTGACAACAGCTAATAGTCGACGCTTCGGCAAAATATGGCTGACATGTCAGTCTGGCCAACAGAACAAACAAAATTTTGGTTGCGTTCAGTATCACGCATTAAATCCGAAAAAACTTACCAAGTTTAGCTATCATCAAAGTTACCCCAGTTCGCAAAGTAACCCCGTTTTACGGTACCGAGAGTTCGAGTTTCAACTTCTAGAAGTTTAGTTCTTCGGTTCGGGACTAGATGGCGCTGTCGGTTGAAAGATTAGTGATGTCATTTTCTGGAAAGCTCTCCTCGCTCTCGTCTCTGACACTAGATGGCGCTATTGCCGTCGACTTAGGCGCGTAACACTGCCCCCTCCTAAGACATGCTCGTCCCGAGCATTATCGGCCCCATAATAACGCGCCAGGCGATCCACATGGACGATCTTAGGACTCCCTCTTGCGCCTTTCTGTATCCGGTAGGTTACATCGTTGATCCTGGTCACAATCCGGTACGGGCCGTCCCATTTAGCTTGAAGCTTAGGAGATTTCCCTTTGCTGCGGACTGGATTGTGCAACCACACTGTGAACCTTCGTCGAACCCTTTATTGTTCATTTTGCGGTCGTACCGGGTTTTCATTTTCTCAGACATTTGCTGGCCCGATTGTCGACGTGCTCAAAATGTCATTCATTTTGTTCCGCAAGTCATTTGCATAATCGGTTATACAGTGTGGGATATCAGGTGGTATCCCGCTGATCAGGTCTGCAGGCAGCCGTAATTCTCTTCCAAAGTTTGCGAAAGCTGGTGTCACTGCTGTACTTTCGTGAACAGAACTTCGATATGACAATAAAAACGGTTGTATGTACTTGTCCCAATCTCGTTGCCGATTGTCTACAACTCTTGCTAGGTACCTCCCCAATGTCTGATTAAATCGTTCTACCATTCCATCAGATTGCGGGTGATAAGAAGTCGTTCTTGTTTTATGAGTACCCATAACTCGGCAAGTTTCCTGGAATATTTGAGACTCAAAATTCCTTCCTTGATCGCTGTGAATCTCCAAAGGTACTCCAAAACGACAGAAGACTTCATGAACTAGTTTATCTGCAACTGTTGAAGCTTCTTGATTTGGAATGGCGAAGACTTCTGGCCACTTAGTGAAGTAATCCATCACAACCATGAAATACTTGTTACCGCTTTCACTCTCCGGAAACGGCCCCGCCACGTCAATGGCTATTCTCTCCCATGGTGCACCAACATTGTACAACTTCAATGCACCTCTACTACGAGTCTGAGGTCCCTTTACAGCCGCACAACTTGTACATTTGCGACACCAGTCCTCGACATCGTTTCGACAGTGGACCCAATAAAACCGTTCTCGGATCTTCAGTAGAGTTCGTTTGACTCCCAGATGGCCTCCGGAACAATCATTATGGTACAGGTGTAGAACATCCGGTACTTTAGCTTTAGGGACAACCATTTGCAAGTGACAGCTGTCTCCCCGAACATTTTCCCATTTACGGCACAGAACTCCATCCTGAAGCAGCAAGCTGTCCCATTGGGCCCAATAGCTTTTAGTGGTCGAACTCATCGCTGAGACGTCGCTCCACTTGGGCTTGGGAGCACTGGCTTTCATCCATTCCAGAATCGGCTTAATGTCCGGATCTTCCTGCTGTGCATGTTGTAAGCTGTCCTTCCACTCGTTGCTGAGGTGGTCTGTCCTGAGCATCCTAACGGATACCACTTCCTTACTCTCCTGCCTAGTACAATGATTGCAATCTTCAGGATAAGGTCTTCGTGACAATGCATCTGCGTTGCCATAAGATTTCCCGCTGCGATGTTCGATCTCAAAGTCGTATTCCTGCAGTAGTTCAATCCATCTCGCAACTTGTCCTTCTGGGTTTTTAAACTGTAATAGCCATTTTAGTGCAGCATGGTCATTTCGTAAGTGAAATTTTCGCCCCAGAAGATATTTGCTAAAATGCTGCAACGACTTTACCACAGCTAGCAATTCGCGTCTTGTGACACAATAGTTCCTTTCCGGTTTTGACAACGACTTGCTGAAGTACGCTATCACAACCTCTCGATCACCGTTCCGCTGAGACAACACACCGCCGAGCCCTGTATCACTTGCGTCTGTGTCAACTATAAATTCTTTGCTTGCATCAGGGTATCCCAAAATAAGTGTTTTGCGCAAACGGTCCTTAGCTCCTGGAATGCGATATTGCAACTTTCATCCCAGCAGAAATGTCGCTTCTCCTCGGTTAGCTTATGCAGAGGTTTGGCTATATCTGCGAAGTTCTTCACAAATCGCCGGTAGTAGGAACACAAACCCAAAAATGATCTAACCTGTGTCTTGTCTTTTGGAACCGGCCAATCCTTGACAGCGGCGATTTTCTCTGGATCCTTGCGGATACCTTCTTCCGATACTACATACCCCAAAAAGTTAACTTGCCGTTTGAATAGTGAACATTTCTTCGGACTCAACTTGAGGTTGGCACTCTGAATCTTCATGAGCACGCGTTCCAGGTTTTGAAGGTGTTCCTCAAACGTCCGGCCTACGATGATGATGTCATCCAAGTAGACCAGACAGGCATCGCCAATTAGCCCGGTAAGTACAAGTTCCATCAGCCTTTCAAACGTTGCTGGAGCATTGCACAACCCAAACGGCATTACTTTAAATTGCCACAGACCCTTTCCCGTCGAGAACGCAGTTTTCTTCTTGTCCTTAGGGTCAATTTCAACTTGCCAGTAGCCACTTTTTAGATCCAGCGTGCTAAACCACTTTACTCCTGTAAGCATGTCCAGGGTGTCATCAATTCTTGGCAAGAGATAGCTGTCCTTCTATGTAACGTCGTTCAGACGGCGGTAATCAACACAGAACCGCATGCTTCCATCCTTCTTCTTTACCAGCACCACGGGTGAACACCATGTACTAGAGGAAGGTTCAATAACACCATCCTTCACCATTCCCTCAATCATGGTTTCCACTTCCTTTTCACGTGCTACCGGCAATCTTCTTGGCCGCTGACGGATAGGCAATTCTTCTCCTGTGTTTATTTTGTGTTGAACTAAGCCAGTCTTTCCCATGTCAGCATCGTTTGATGAGAATACATCGGCGTACTTGAGTAACAACTTCTTCGCCTTGACCAATTCGTTCGGGGAGAGAACACTGCGACAGTCTTCCAAAAGTGTGATCACTCTCGTTTCTGAATCCTTGCTGGGGGTCCCACTCGATATATATTGGCACCGACGTAACCAATCCACTTCCTCACAAGTACCAACCAGTGTGCCTTTTTCTATAATCTGTTCCCGGTCACAAAGGTTCAGCACACGTACTCCTGAGATGTCAGTGGTCTTGATCAAGGTTCGAGCTACTTTCCATGGAAGGTCACTGTTTACCCTTTCCACAACTACACAACGGTGAGGTTGCCCAGCGTTTCGAGGAAGACTAACCGGAACAATCGTTTCCGATCTCGGCGGAAGAACAATCTTCTTAATGCTGTACACGTTCCCTGGTAACGCACCTTCCATAAAAAGTTCCTCCTGTCCACATTTCAAAACACCTTGCTTAACGTCGATCTCACAACAATTATTCCT